TTTACCAATATGAGATGCATGGCCTTACATGTTACCAGTGTCTTTTGTGTTATATGGTGTAATATTGAAGCCCTAACAAATTTGCGCTTTAAAATGATCATAAAGTGCTTCAAAAAAGTACGTAACAATCTTTGAGTGACCGGTTTTACCATACTCATTTCCCCTCATAGACTTTAGTGTTATAACAAACAGTTCAAAACCGTTTGGAAAACAGTTTTTGACATGTCCATTCATAAATGTCTCGATAATCAGACAGGCGATCGGCTTGTAAAAGTCATAGGAGATTCCTGACTGACCTTAAGGTTTATGATTGCAGCATGAGCTAAATCCAGGATTTTTTTTTCAGAATCTGAGACAAAGTTTACAATCGGACTAGAGTGTCCTGGCCTAGAGAGCAGAGATCTCCGAGTTTTAAGAAGAAATCTCGATAAATAGAAATGCTGAGGATATTAAGATAATGCGCTATAAATTATTGATCACTCACGCTTTATAGGAAGGAAACTCTTTGTGGTTAATTAAACATCAACATACATGTTTTACCTGTCGTTTAGGTGCACTGTAGTTCATAAATCATTTTACCACTAATTAAAGTGAAACAAAACCACTAACCGCAACTAAAGAATACCGCAACTAAACCCCTGTATTTTGTTTGGAAACTCCAGTTTGGTTGATTCTCTCTTGTCATGTATCATCAAAACAAAATGCTTTAAAGATAAAGACCAGTTATGGTTATGCAATCGCATTGTGAAAGAAACGTTCAGAAATCGAACAGAAAAGGTTGATCATCTAGCATAGATGTACTGCAAGGTTCTGGAATCATCAAAATGATAAGAAATCATTGGCCCAGTCTTCATAAAGTTACAAGCACTGTACACAGAAAGATGTATATGGGACTACGCACACGTGTATCTCTCACACACCAATGATAAAATAATTTACCAAATATATCAATTTGTATCATCATGTATTATTCAAAACATATTCTTTCACATGATTGGTAATAACACCTTCCATTTCATTTTTTGAAATTGAGGCGTTTCCTAAACTGGTCTTCACCTTTAATACCATTAGAAAGTGCGTCTATTCCCCTTTTAAATGATACCCCATTTGTTATGATTCTTCAGTAACGAGTGTGCATTACATCAAAATAAGGGACAAGGCCAAAAGTGAAAAGGTGCAAAAATGCACTGCTCTTCGAAAGTGCATAACAATACCAGTGCTTAAAGAGTATAATTAGATTCCCCTACCAAAAAAAAAAAAAAAACGTTAAACAAAATTATGATTTTAGATACATGCATAAAGAGTGCTATACATGTATAATATTGAATTTGATGGTAAGAGGTGGTCAGCGCTTTATAAGCAACGTTTTTTAAAATTGTTATTATTATTGATTATTATCATTATTGTTATTACCACCATCATCATCACCATTATTAAAATCATTATCATTATTATTGTTATCATTATCATTATAAATATTGTAAGTATCGTTATATCATAAATATTATTATCATGATTGTAAGAACCATCATATTCATCGTTATCACTATTTATATTATTATTCATATTATTATCATTATTATCATCACCAATATTATCATTATTATAAATATTGTTATTATAATTATATCATAAATATCGTTATTATGATTGTAATTACCATCATCTTCATCATCATCGCTATTCATTTAATTATTCATATTATTATTTTTGTCATTATTATCATCACCAATGTTATCATTATTATAAACATTATTATTATTATTACATTATGAATATTAATATTATGATTGTAATTAGTAGATCTACAGTATTGCTTGGAATAAAGTAGACACTCTCACACTGTGTCACGCGTGACTGCGTGTATTATCTGTCTTTGGTGTGACTTAGCAGTCCTACCTAGGAGTCCTAGTGCTAAAACTTTCATCAGTTTGCTTCTCAGTCTTATTTTGCTTTCTTTTAGTTTAGAGCAGTTGTATATTCGAGTTATATTTCCCTTTAAAGCCATGCAGCCAACGAGTAGGCAAATGAGTAAACTTTTTTTTGCTTTAAATGATTCCCCATGCCATGCATCCCATCAATCAAGACCCTACATAAAAATACATATATGGGATCATACATTTCAAATCTTGTCAGCAAGTGTTGAAAGTCCGAGCTCACTATCACTGACATAAGATCCTACATTACAGTAACATAGAGTCTACATATCAACTTATCAGAACATTACATTGGAAAAAATTAGTCTTTTAAAGACGTCATAATGACGTTATCAATACGACAAAAATTAGCTTGGAAAAAAATAATCTTTTAAAGACGTCATAATGACGTCGTTATCACGTCGTCAATATGACAGCATTACATTGGAAAAATTAGTCTTTTAAAGACGTCATAATGACGTCGTCGATACGACAACAATTATCTTGGAATAAATAGTCTTTAAAAGAGGTCATAATGACGTCGTTATCACGTCGTCAATACGACAACATTACATTGGAAAATATAGTCTTTTAAAGACGTCATAATGACGTCGTCGAGAAGACAAAAAAAATATATTGAAAAAATTAGTCCTTTAAAGATGTCAATATGACGTCGTTATGACGTCGTCAATGCGTCAAAACTCATCTTGGAAAAAATAGTCTTTTGAAGACGTCATAATAACGTCGTAATTACGTCGTCCATACGACGTACGACGTGTTTACCACTTTACGACCAATTTATGACGTCTTTAAGACGTCAGTCTGCTATCAGGGAATTACCATCATATTCATCATCATCTTTATTCATATTATTAATAATAATAATAATAATAATATATTATATTTTTAATGCGCTTAATACAATGTTTCTAAGCGCAAGAGAAAGGATAAGGAAGGAAAGTGAGAAATACTAAAGAAACATGTTAAAAACATTGAATTACAAGTAAACGGCAAAGAAGAATATGACATTACACAAAATAAGGACTGCATCGAAATTGATTGAAATATATAAATAACCAGATATGGACTCAGAATTATAATAAACCATGTGAAATATTAAAATACAATTATTCATATTAACATTAGTATTATTATTATTATTGTTATTATTATTGCTATTATCATTATTATTAATATTCTGCATCGAGAGAAGGACTAGCTTTTGGTGGTCATTCCCCCTATTTTTCCATAAATGTGTGGCAGGTTTCCCACTCCGGAAAAAGTTCTACTTTCGTTTTGAGAAAACAATGCATGAACCCAACCTTGAATGTTATAATGACTATCCAATAGATCTAGGTCGCACAGAGAGAGAGAGAGATGGAGAGAGAGAGAGAGAGAGAGAGAGAGAGAGAGAGAGAGAGAGGAGAAAGAGACAGAGGGAGGGGAGAGAGAGAGAGAGAGAGAGAGAGAGAGGAGAAAGAGAGAGAGGGAGGGGAGAGAGAGAGAGAGAGAGATGGAGAGACAGAGAGCGACAGAGAGAGACATATAGACAGAGAGAGACAGAGAGAGACAGAGAGAGAGAGAGGATGGGAGAGAGAGAGAGAAAGAGAAAGAGATTTGGAGGGAGGGAGAGAGAGAGGGAGAGAGAGAGAGAGGGAGAGAGGGAGAGAGAGAGAGTGAGAGAAGGGAGAGAGAGAGAGATAGGGAGAGAGAGAGAGAGAGAGAGAGAGTGAGAGACAGAGAGAGAGAGAGAGAGAGTAGGGTATTAATCTGTTATTTTATTGATGACGTTACCACGTTGCATGTATTGCCAAATGCAAAGGGGTATTTGTAAGAGAGTACCCTATATCGGCTTATCTTATGTTGAAAAGAATAAAGAATAAATAAATAACAAATGTTCGAGCACAAAAGACAATGGTCGTTAATCACTTGATTAAAGAGAAAGTTTTTCCCTCTACCCTTCTTTTAATTTTTCTTCCTGAGTGCGTTTTATAATAGCCCTTCAGAAAGAAAAAGTCGCCCCTTTTTATTGAATGGATTTTGCCATTAGCGACACTAATGATGGGTTTCACCGGGGTTTTCATTTTTTGTCGATTTATCTTGCTGCCCTGACACTATTGGTGGGGATCTTTTTCCATATTTCCCCAATTTAATGATTAACGGTTGCCAATGTTTAGAAACATATTTATTCATGATTAAGCTCAAAGGGTAATCCAACCTTTTTGTAATAATTCATTTGTAGGAAAGTAGAACATGCAAGAGAAACAGATTGGCGAAAGTTTGAAATGAATCGGACCAATAATTAGAGAGTTAGAAATATGAGATCACTAATCTATCCAAATCTCTAATTGGCAATTTGGTCACTGAATAATGTGAAATAATCGCGGATAACTCTTCCGTTTGTCGTGCTCAAAGATTTTTTTTCCTATCCTAGGTGCCTTCTTTCTCAGGGGACTACTCAAATTGATAGCGTATTATTATAGGACCTCTAAACAGTAAAAGGCCATCCTAAGTTATACATTTGGGTAAATTAGAATTTTAGTCATATTGTGTGTTGGAACAAATGGTAAGTTGTCTGGCTCTACATGACGTCACAGTGACAAAGTGACATTACCGTTTCGGCCAATGTGAAATGCCCATACGACGTATAGTATTAACAAGTTATCAAAGTACATCACTTTCTTATTATGTTAATCCGATCTCATTCAAACTTTACCCAGTCTGCTTCAGTCTCTGAATTTCAGCTTTAAAAAAGTTGTTGTCCTTATGGATGGTTGTCCTTCATAGCTCCTCGACTGTCTACAAAACGCCACACGCAGCCGCGTTCTGTGTTTCCGGGGAATCCCAGTACGGTATAAATACCACTTTCTCTTATCAAAGGCATGACACTATATACTGGGGGGATTTCCCTTCGGTGGACGTAACAATCGCGGCTCCTGATTGGACATCAGCAGATTTTCACTGGTTTATGTCAATTGTCAATGGAAGAAGACTTTCTAAACTTTACTATATAACAGCGTGGGAGAAAGTTTTAGGTATCACTTTTGAAGACTTATTGCAGTGAGCGCTTCAGATCTAGATTTACAAAGCACCAAATCATTTTGAGGACTTAGAAGCTAGTTTGCCATTTTTGTAAAGAGGACTCACTTTCGTTGTTCACCTCGTATATATTTCATTTTACGCCAACGTTTTTATCTTCGATTTGCTTCTCGCAATTATTATTTATACGATATTGCAGTCTGCGGACACTCTCATATTGATCGTATAAATTATTACGTCGAGTCTTCACATAAAGCATACTGGTTAGAGTTTATTCTTAAACCTTTTTGTGATTGTCGAAATGGAGATCATCATGATATTGGCTTCTGTTCTGTGCGTCCTGCTTCTTTCACTCGCAAATGTAGAAGGTAAGTTTTGCGTTACATCTGTTCATTGTTTTTTTATTAACCTACTTTTGGTTTAAAGATTTAGTAACAAATTGTGTCTTGATTGTATCTTCCCTTTTCCTCCTGTTCCTCCTCCTCATTAACAAAATTTATCATCATGACCTGCTTTTTTTTTTCTTCTTCTTCTTTATCTCTTCTTACTTTTCTTTTATTTATTACTCTCTCTCTCTCACCCCCATCATCAAATAACAATCTATTACTAATGATATCAATTAAATAATAACAATTAATAATCATGAATAATAATCATAATGATAATAATAATAGTTTTATCATTATTATGATTGTTAATATTATTATCATTGTCATTATTAAAATCTGTATCATTATAATCGCGGTAGTGTTAGTAGTAGAAGTTGTTGTAGTAGTTAGGACTGGTAGTAGTAGTAGTAGAAGTAGTAGTAGTAGTAGTAGTAGTAGTAGTAGTGGTAGTAGTAATAGTAGTAGTAGTAGTAGTAGTAGTAGTAGTAGTAGTAGTAGTAGTAGTAGTAGTAGTAGTAGTAATTGAATTAGTAGTAGTCATTTACATTCATTATAACATTTTAATGAAATAACTTGTAACGCCTTTTAACCATGTCACAATGCCAACGATCTCTATCCTCTCCCCAGGCTTGACCGATCTTTACCTTGGCGACCCCGATCGCGAAATACATGTGGGAAGCGACATCGAGATCGTATGCGACAGCGATCTTCAGCGGTCCGCCGACATGAATGACGACGAGCTACGACGAAAGATCGGATGGCTTCGCGGAGGACCAGTAGTCGAAGACTTGGAAGTTGTAGCGAGCAGTGACAGCCGAGTCTCGATCGAAATGGAGTTTTTATCGGAAAGGGTAAGAACAATTCAAACTTTTACTCAATAGTTTTCAACATGATTATACTCCTATATTTTAAATGATTCGGTAAAAATCGTATTTTGAGAGAAAATTTCTATTATTTATTCAGAATTGTTTATCTAGCAGGAGATTGATTGTTTGAACAAGTGAAATAAAAACAAACACACAAAAAATTATTGGGCATCATCTTCGATAAAAACCATAACTCCCCTTTGTACATAGTGACCTGTGTTAAGCACGTGGTAGGCCTACGGGGCCTACTTACCAGGATTTCCTTATCTTGCTATGCTCATAACTCAGCCACTATACATTGTATACCAATTTTTTTTTGGCACATGACTTTGTCATTTATTTGTAATCTTGAATATTCAGTGTAAGTTTCGTTGGATTCTGTAAACATTTATTTTCTTTAGTCAAATCACACCGATGAGATTGATAAAACAGCGAAAGCAGACAGAAAACAAATCATTTAGCCGAAAGGCAAAGAAAATGTTTGGCGTCGGTTTAAGAGGTGTGACTTATAGGTTTCAACAAAACTACGCCATTTATTTCGCCTACCTCCCAATATATTATCTCGTTGACTAAAATTGCAACGTTAAAAAGAAATTTTAAAACAAAGCAATTCACATAACATTGGGCCCATTGTTATATTCGTGGTATTGTGGAAGAGACAAGTTTGGAATTATAATTCATCTGGTGTTTTTTTTTCTTTAGACATTCGGTTTTGTGGAAGTGCGATCGACTCTCACCATCCGTAGGGCAGCCCTGGGAGATTCTACTAATTATACATGTTGCAAGAGGGATACCCCCATGTGCGATGAGTGGGGGCGACGACAGCAGAGGCAACTACAGGTGGAAATCCTTCCAACTCAAACTGCTTCAGGTATGCAAGGATGGTCAGATGAGGGAGAGAGGGGAGGGGTAGAGAGAGAGAGAGAGAGAGAGAGAGAAGAGGGGGAGAGGGAGAGACAGAGACAGACAGAGAGGGAGAAAGAGGGGAGGAAAAGAGAGAGAGAGAGAGAGAGATGGGGAAAGAGAGAGACAGAAAGAAAGGGGGGAGAGAAAGAGAGTGAAAAAGGAAGAGAGAGAGAAAGAGAGAGATGGGGGCTTTAAATTATGATTTTATGTTAGTGCATCATCAATGGCTGTTTTGTAGTTACATAACTGAGAGGTTATAAAATGATCTTTTTACTTAAACGGTGTGATTTCTCGGAGTATTTGCAAAGCCCTGTTACTCCTGTATACCATTTTAAAGCTGTATATGAATTTGTTTTTAGTAACATTGAATGATTAATATTATTCTGTTATTTTACTTTACTTTTCTTTTCTTCTCAAAATACTTTATCGCAACTGCTATAATATATAATAGATGCTGCATCTTTTAATTAAATCTTAACAGTCACAACTACCATATTAAATACGTTCTTGTTCACTTTTATTAAACAGAGCTTACAATCATGACGACGATGACAACACCGTCGCAAGAATGGACGACGAGAAATCGTAAGTACATACCAAGAAGATCGTGCGATGACTTTTACTTTACACGTTACGACACCTTCTCTGACATAATCTTCTCTAATAAAAGTTGTGTACAGTCAGATAAAAATGATGTAAGCCATGGTTTAATAAAAGGATGTACATTCAGGTTTTTAAAAAATAACAATAATAATAAAAAATCAAGCGTATATAAAGAAAGATATTAGATCATTTTGAGCACTTGACCAGTTGGAATTTGTAAGTTAAATCTGTGTTAGTAAATACATTCTTCTCTAAATGTAACCTATTTTAGTGATACGTAGTATTTTTATGAAGATAAAGAAGAAATAAAAGAAGAAGAAGGAGAAGAAGGAGAAGAAGAAGAAGAAGAAGAAGAAGAAGAAGAAGAAGAAGAAGAAGAAGAGAAGAAGAAGAAGAAGAAGAAGAAAAAGAAGAAGAAGAAGAAGAAGAAGAAGAACAAGAACAAGAACAAGAAGAAGAAGAAGAACAAGAAGAAGAAGAAGAACAAGAAGAACAAGAACAAGAACAAGAAGAAGAAAAAGAAGAAGAAGAAGAACAAGAAGAAGAACAAGAAGAAGAACTAGAAGAAGATGAAGATGAAAAAGATATCCACTTTATAATCCAAGACACCCATTCATTAATTAATATCACAATTATTTCTCTTTTTAACGAACAGCTGTGGAACCATCCACCATATCTACAACATTCAGCGATGAGATCCAAGATCATACTGTTATACCTATGGTTAACGAAGCATTCCACCAAAAACAAGGAGCTGTTTACACGATCGCGGTAGTTGTTCCCTGTGTACTAGCCGTCGTACTAGTAAGTTGATTTGTCACCTCTACTTTAGATTTTATTTCAAAATTATTGATTAAAACTTGAGTTACACGTATTTAATTTCGCATATCATAATTTCCTATTGACCTGTTAGTGGGGTGAGGTGTATTGGCACAATTTTGCATACTATTACACTATGACCGCTGCTCCCCCCCCCCCCCCCCCCCTGGTAGCAATATGCCTCAGCATTACATTCCTGCGTTGAAACTTGCTTGTTTAAAGGCCCACTGCACTACTTGTAGCTACTTGCGCCCTCTATATAACAAACAATGTCTAATCGGTGACCATTGGTCCCCCATGATCCTCTTTTTCTTATGTTAACTGAGAGCTGAGTTGATGAGATAACCACCTGTCCAGTGACCTTGCTGAGCGCTCTAATCCCTCCTGTAAACTATGGCAGATAAGCTTTAATTTGTGATGGAATTCATCATGTTACATAATACCCTTCTAAAACAGTTATTTTCAATACGTCAGGTTTAAATTCAGCTCCGATCAAAAATTAAATTCAATATTAATTACTCATAAATCAATATGGCTAATGCAGAAATCGACAACAGGGGGGGGGGGGTGGTTCTTAAGCATGAGCCGGAATATACATTGCCATACATGTACGACTTCGAACTACTACGACTTATAAGGATTTATTTATATACCTTTAATCGGGAGGGGGGGGGGGGTACACCAGCTCTGCCACTTATATGTTGAAAACGCTGCTGAAAGAACAGCCCAGTGAAAGTTTGGGAAAGTATTGGCTGTAAAATTCCCCAACCTTTTTCGATTTCCTTTGATGCTGGCTAAAAAGTTTCGGAAGTGAAGGCACTAGAGTGAACCGGATATGGAAATACCCGAGGGTATTTTTGTGGAAAATCTCTTGTAGCTGTTAACATTATATTGTTGTTCTGTCATTGATTTGATTTAACTCTATATCGCTCAAATATCATTAATGTACTTGACCTCCCACATTGTCATGATACGATTCCATACCCCCCCCCCCTTAAAAAAAAAAACACACACACCAACAACACGCGAGCGAAAGAAAACTTACCCACTGAATCATCCTGAAAGGATTATCTACCTGGCGACAGTTTCCGTTTTCATTCCTCGATGTCATTTGAAACAAGATAAATTATTTCTTTCGGGAAGTGGGCAAGGAGGTGAGATGGGGAGGGAGCGGGGGGGGGGGGGTGTAGGCTGTGTGAACTTTTTCGGGCCGCACTTATGAACATGAATAAACCATATGAAATCATTAGACTACAACATTCCCATTGTGCTCTAGCAAGAAGCACACATTTTGTTGAATGTGAAGACATAATTTCAAACAGTTTACTATGTACATTCGTTTGAAGGAGGGGGTGGGAGGGGGGGGGGGCTAATTAATCCCCTGCAACCCTCTGTCTATATATGTAAAGTCCTTAAAAGTGCTTGTTTTCTACGGCTTTACCGTACACACTAGTGGCCTATATCAGGAACGTATTGGGAAAAAAACTCTCCAGGCTCTGTATTCTACATTTAGAGTAAATCATGAAAGACAAGCAGTGGAATGACACTGCAAGAGAGTATACTAAGGTGGCAGAAAACAGAGATGCGAGCTGAAAGTGTTTGTTAAAGAAAAGACAGAACATTCCCCTACACTATGATCTCTTTGTTTTTCCGTCTTATTAACTCCACCACCTTATCCTTTTGTCTTTCTCTCAACAGATTACTGTTGTCGCCTTCATCGCTCGCCACTATTGGAGAAGAAAGAATGTGGAAACCCCAGTACAGGTCTTCGAAGCTTGAAGTATCTCTGTCGCAGCTCGTACAAAACTTCGCATCATCATTATGATTACATTCCAAGGGCGTAGCTACATCAACAGGGAGGCAGAGGGGTGGCCGTGTGACACCCCTTCGAAATATTCAATCGGCAATGGATGGGGTTTCATAACTTGTCGGTAAATATTTAAAACAAATGATGGTCTTCTGTTTCCTTTTTGAGGGAAAGGTTTTTGTTGACCCCCCCCCCCCTCCCCGAAATTTGCATTCTACCCCCCCCCCCTCTCTCCCTTATTAAAATGGTATAGCGACACCCCACTGGAAATAAGCTTTCGAGCTTTCGTGGGTTATCCTGTTCAAGCTGACTTATTTTTGATCTGTTATTATTGTATCATAATAATCACATCATTGGTATGATCACATTTTTGTTATTGATAATCATGGCTGGTATGCAATATTTTTTTTACCAGAAAGTTTTGGGTCTTTTTTTTAAAACTATTGTGCTGATGATTCCAAATTGAGAAATGCAGTATGTTAATATATGTGTATAATTATGCAAAATGTAAATAGTGTATATGGTTGTATTTATTAACTAAAGCTGCAATGGAATACATCTACATAGTTATACCGCTATAGTTAATTGATTCGGTATAAGTGAAGTATTTTAGAATGCAATTTGTAAATCTCGTAAATGATTGACAAACGTTTTAGATAAAGCACATATTACAATGAATGTGAACTGCGGCAAATTGATCTTCAATCGCTTTATACAAACGAAAAAAAAAGCACGGGTGACGTCGTTTTCTTACATATCGTACCTAATATAATAGTTGCTGTGTAGAACAGCAATCCCCCTGCAATTCAAGGCTACAAGTGTAAGAATATGAAATACTCCGTCTATTTTCATGTTCTTTTTGGGGAGAAATTAAAAGTCTAACATTTTTAAAGATTTATTATCTTACATTGATAAAAGAACAAGTGTTAAGTGTAAGAGTTTTAAGAACTTTTTTTTCGGGGGGGGGGGGGTCAAAAATAAAATGTGTAATTTGTTTTTTAAAAAATTTCTGCCATGTGTTAAAAAACTCAAGGAAGATACAACTATGTCGCAATTGTGTATCGGTTGTACTTTGTTGTAAGGGAAAACCCAACTTGTTCAGCATACCTCAATTCACATTTTGTGTCAGTTTGAAAAGATTGCAACGACGGAAGGAAAGGAACCAAAGAATAATAAAACTTGCGATTGCTGATGAACTTGATTTACTTTAGAGGAAACACTTAACAAGAATAACAAAGTAATACGAGTTCCCCCAATGGATATACTTGACACACGTAACGAATATTTTTTTAAAGGGCTTCGTCGGCATCGATAAATTATGATAGAGACAGGAAATTCCTATATGTTATAGTTCTTCACAAATGATCTATGTCTTCTTCGTACTTGCACTTTACGTATATCCTACATCATTACATTTGGATGACATTGTACGTTCTTTAGTTATAACGATATTCATATATCTCTTCATGGTAAATATCATGCCAAACTTGTTCCAATTAATGTATAGTCAATTTCTAGTTATAGACTCTATTTTGAAAAGAAAAGCAGAAGAAAACATAAACGTCGCGGTTACCGGCTCCAAATCTGAAAGAGCATTTGAGAGTCGATTTCCAACCTTCTATATTCGGTAGAGAGAGATCATAATGACTAAGTTTCTTCGGCATGATGTCACCTAACATCCACATTCCCGTGGCGACGTCACGTCCGTATATACCAGACAGGGTATTAGAGTTCAAATGTTATTTATTGATGACCTCTGGGTTTTTCCCCGGTTTTTCCCAAACTTGAGAAGCTGCTTGAATAACACTTTATTGAACCAGAAACACGGGCCATACATGGTGCGCTTTCGGGTTGTAATAGCCCTTCTTCTTCTGCAGATTTCTACATAATAATTCTTGGTATTGTGATTTTTTTCTGTTACATTTTGTGTTGATGTCATCATTTATTATCATTGTGTTTTGTACATTTTCAAAAAAATCGTTCTATATTGAAGATATGTTGTATTGCTGAAATGTGATTTGATTTGAATGTTGCAGAAGAAAATAAATTAAATTCAAATCATTAAGTAAGCTGTAACTCACAACTTTATTGTTCATCTGAATTCCGAGCAATTGTTAATTTAAATCGATGTTCCCTTTTATTTTCCCCTTTTTCTTACAAAATATTGTACACGAAGGCAAAATGTTTCTTTTTTACTTTCATTTCAGTTTTGTAAAAGATTTTTTTTTCTCTCAAAATATTTCATATGATTTTGACACTGGCTTGCAAAGGATAAAACTGAGTTCATATTAGCATTTCCTCTAAGCGCACAATGTATGTAAATTAATTGAATATAGTGTTTTAGATAATGTACAATGTCTTCTTTCTATCAGAAGAGTATTTTTGTAATAAAATGAATGAGCATTATAAATGTTATGATTGCACAATATAACACCTTACCGTCTGATTACATTTTTCACGCTTTTAATGTTGAGGGGAGATGAGAGGAGAGGAGAGGAGAGAGAGGAGAGAGAGAGAGAGAGAGAGAGAGAGAGAGAGAGAGAGAGAGAAAGGTGGGCGGAGAGAGAGAGAGAGAGAGAGAGAGAAAGGTGGGTGGAGAGAGAGAGGGGGGGGAGCGAGTATATTAATTGAAATTGATTCTCACAAGAGTTGGTTGGCGGGAATGCAAAGAAATGTTAATTATGAAGCACTTAAGTAATATTAATGAAAGTCGTTGAACAAATTGCTCTCATTAACTTAGATAAGAGTCTGGAAATATTGTACATTATACCGAAACCAGGATACGCAACTAAATAAAAAGTTTTGTCCGAATATGAAGAAGAATTCAACAATACTCAACACTTGCTCTTAATATCAAAAACTTTACTGGGCATCATCTTCGATGAAAACCAGAACTCCCATTAGCAAAAAGTGACCGGTGTTAATCACATGGTGTCGGCACTACTTACCCGGATTTCCTTATCTTTCTATGCTCATTATTTTCTCAGCCTCTATATATTTTTTACCAAAATTGTTTGGCACTTCTCTTTTCTCTCTCTCTCTCGCGCTTCATATCCTTTCTCAAGGCTCACGTGTCATTTTTCTTCTTCTCAAAGAAGAACCCAGATTTCCGATCAGAGTCACATGCAACTTTAATGTTCTACTTTTCATAACCTCGCTTGAACTTCGTGAATGTCTGGTAAACATGGCGCCTGTGGAAATCCTCAACGATTCAGTTTTCCTTAAACCGACATACCTTCATAATTTATTAACTCTTCCTCATATCTCTTTTCATTCTTCAATAGTCTATTTCCCGCATTTCTCTTGCCTACTTTTAGGTTATAGCCCCTTTGATCTTATCTCCATTTCCTTTCTCACCTTCTTCATCTCTCTCTCTCTCTCTCTCTCTCTCTCCCCCTACCCCTCTCTCCAATCCCCCTCCGTTCTCTCTTTTTCTCGCTTCGATCTTTCCCCAACCTCCTTCTCTCTCTCTCTCTCATGTTATGCGAATGATTTAAAATATTTGAAGTTGAAAACAAATATCTATCAAATTCCAATCAAGATTTTATACTATGTGTACGAGGAAAAGCTCAAGGTAATATTAGAAAATGTCAGTAAGAGGGAAATAACTAACAAATAAACAATGGTCACTACAAATTTTCTAGTACAATCTTCCCAATTTAAACATAAAATATCAGACTCCAGATCAAGAATTTTTAAACACAATTTGTAAGGGGGAAAAATGTCCATAGGATAATTTAGAAATAGCATTAAATAGGGGGAAATAACCAACAAAATAAAATAAAATGATCACCAAAGAGTTTTCGAGCACAATCTCCCGAGTTTAATATCTCAATAAAACATGAATTAGACATAACTACAATATTCAAGCTTATACATTATGTATACACGTAGTCTACCTCGCTAAACACAAAACAACCTTAAATGTACAACTAAAACGATCCACAAATTCTAACAATTCATTATGATTACACATTCAATCAATTCCATATATAAAAATATAAACATTGGGCGAACATACATACAAATGAATAGATTATAGATTTCATAAAATAATCGTTCAAATAAATGAAAACAATTGATTACATTAACTGGTTATATAATAATACGTAACATGGATTGCATCTGTATTTTTTTTCTTCTTCAAAAATCCTCTTGGCAGATTTTAATACCGTATGCATATATAATTATGTGTGTGTGTGTGTGTGTTCACACGACAGGGTTAAACAACATTTGCAAACTGCTCTGTAACCAAGTAGGTTCATGTCAACTAAGTGGTGTGAACACGTCTGTCGATAAATGACTTAGGAAAAATAAGGGTGTTTTATCAAGAAAGAAAGTCACTATTTTCTTTTAAAAACCGTGTTCCAATTCCTCTTTAATGCATAACCTGACCATTGTCATACTTTGATTGTGAAGCGAAAGAGGGGTAATTAACTTAAACAAAGAAACGTAAGAAAATGCCCCTACAGGTCAGTTTAATTGGCCATTGATTTCAAGTCTATGAACTATACCCTATATTATGGTACAACACAAACATGCAAGTACAATTTGATTTAATTTATTAAAATGCATGAACTAGCTATGAATATATAGATATTAGCATATATCGAATTTCATACATGCACTTGAAATTAATTGATGAACTGTTTTACGAGCCTCAGTTTTTACCATAGAGTTTTTGACACAATTCTATGGATAAAATTAGAGTCGCCTATACGGCATATACGTTTACATACTGGTATGCCCTAAATAGCATCTTAACATAATGATACAAGTTATATAATATCCAAAGAGAAAGAAAAATAACCAGATAAGTACACCGCCCTATGCATATGTCGACATGGTATTAATAATATGATTTATATTTTCATTTAGCATAAAAGGAGAGGGGAGCTGAATATGTACAGAGCTCAGTTTGCAAAACTTTCTTTTCCATTCTTACAAATATACATTTCTGAGGCCAGAGTATGTGTCAAATGACAGTGAAAAAGATCATCCGACAAAAAAGTCTGTAATTATAAAATGAAATAAGAATAAAATACAAAAATGGAAGATTTTGATGTTAATATCCCAAAACAGGCACCATGTTTGAATCAAGTACATTGTACATGGATGTGTTTTCGTAAAATCAAAAATGATTACTGAAAATGAACTAATTATAAGACAACATCTCATACATAACAAGAGATTTATAGTTTGAGACAGCCCAATGAAGAAGAAAAAGAAAAGGAAATTGTTCCTGAGGCTAAAAGACGATAAATGATATTCTAAACAAAAGACAACACACTTTCATTCCTAAGAAGATAAAAAAGCACATTTTGAAACAAAGTTTGAAAGACAGTGACACTACAAATATGATTACAGAATTTGGTCAATGCAATAAGCCATTTTCGTAATGTAACCAAATTTAATGCATACGTCTTTGTAAAGACGTTTGCATTAAATTGGGCTACTATTACGAAAATAGCCTATTACAACAAAACATAAAAACTATTTTTTCCCCGTATCAACAAACATGTTGGTTATTGATAACCGATTTGATCCGAATTTCATGTAAAAAGACACAAATTTTCTATTTTCTTTCTCAATTTTGAAAAAAAGTCCTTTAAATATAACAAGTTAAAATATCTTAACAAAAACTCAAGATGAAATACGAGGAGCATATTTAGTTTGTACTCGAGTTGTTGCAATATGTACTTCTTGACTTAACTCCAGATATCATCATAAATTGTTCAATTTTAAATTCAAAGTCACCAAAAAAAACATCATTACATGGCTAAAGATGCAAGAAAAGTTGATTATGAATGAATTTCATTCAATTCATTATTTATATAATTATTATTCATACATAAACTACAAAAGTTCTTCAAATTGTTTAAAGAGAACACCTTATATCGGGGGTAGGAAACTCAATAAAACGAACCATAAATTTACTGTAAAAATAGCCAGTCCCTAATTAACATGCAAATTATATTCATAAAGATTAATTTATGCATGCATTACCATTAATATGCTTACAATGATATCCCAAATAACGTACAGGTATAAGAATATGTAAATCTATATACAGTTAGTGGTGAATACACGCACATATTACAACGACATATCATATATATCAATTTAATGGCTATATATCACAAACTTACATATAGGTAGAGATATAAAAATGCAACCAATCTAAAACTATTCATCGTTTCAATAAAACTGTACAATATACATGTAAACACAACCCTGAATATCTGAAAATGTTTCAAATTCAACTTTCAAATTTCTAAAATAAATTTCATGAAGATCATTAAGACAACGCTGAAATTGTCTCCTCACCATGGAATGAAAAATTGTCATCGAAAATCTAGATGAGACCATCTGCATCCAGAGAAGTCATTCAAATCAATAAATCGAAATAAAGCAAGACAGGAAAAGCCCTCACCGTAATAAAACAATATTTCATTAACATTCAAAGTGATTCAAATTAATGAAACATGCAATGTGCATCCAAATAATGCCAAAACATAAATTAGTCAAGGATGATTATTATTATATTTTTTTTTGGTAATGATTATCTAAATGATATGGGGATGGGGTAGTAAAGAGGAGGAATCTTTGCTCTTAAATTACATTCTAAACTCTTTTGAAGATAAAGGATGGCCCTATTCAAGCTTTTTCTCCAGTCTACGCTATTGCCCTTCGGATTGTAAACTATGATATAAGGTTGGTGACTGTTTTTAAAGTTTGACAGAATGGGTGCGGTCCCAATCCCCATCCCACCCCACCCCACCGCGCCCCTGTTGATTATACCATCCCACTTGCCCCAAGGGGCATGGCCGCTTCCTGAGACTTAGTAGCCATACCCTTGCTTAAGGTAAGCTCATGTAGCGCCTGCTGGGCAAGGAAGTTTTCCCTCTTGATCTGGTTCTTGACGGTGTCGGGCATGTCCGGGATGACGTACGCCACCACCATCTTCACGAAGATGATGACGTGCTGGTGATGCGGTCGTCATGGTGATCACAAGGAGTGGTCGAGAGGGGGGCGGGGCCAAAATGGTATTGGAGTATTGATGGGAAGGGGTGCAGGCATTGGGAAGGGGGTGAAGGCATTCACAAGGGAGGGGAGAGGAAAAGGACAAATCATAAAACAACATCATTAAATGATTCCGGGAACACAAGTCAAACCAATCATACAAAATGAAAATAATATAAAAACATTCAATAATGATATAAATGCAAATAATTTCAATTCATGCACGATGATGACAGTAAAATGAGTCGTTTCATTACAAATATGCAGACAGATCATTAGTTAATGAAATAGTGTGGATGAATGTTTGAAATTCATCATCAAAATCAGATCACTTACATCCAACCCTGTATGCATGTAAACTAGCAAGATAGAATTTGAATGAAAATTGAGGGAAAAAGAACATGTTGGGGAAGCAAAAATCATCACAATATTCACTATTCACAGCTGCACGTATTTCAGACAAAAACCCTGCATTAGAAAGAAAAGATCACTTTATCTCCAAACTGTACAGACACTGCATTGAAATGTCTTTTCGTACTTCTACACACATACATGTATCAATGTATTGATGACAAGGGTAGACAGACTTGCTATACACTGTGCTAGGCATTTTCTTCTATGAGTAAAAACTGGATAAGACTGATTAAAACAGACATTTAGGAGAGTCGGTAAATGCGTCAGTATTTCATATTATCATAGTTATTTCATTTTCTCTTTCATATCACATGCTTATAAAAATGCAAAGCCATACATTATAGCCATAGCTACAAATTGTCTATATTATTCTTATAAGTCTAGCATTAGGTTGTAAAATGAAAGAGATACTAGTATTCCAAAGGATCAAACTATTCACTTTTTTCAAAAGGTCCTAGAAAAAACTCTCTTTTTATTTACAGTATAAAAAGTGATGAATAGAATAACAATTTCTTTTCTTCTCCAATTTGCATGTTCATGCACTTGAACATTGGGTACCTGCCATCATTTTCATATAACTGATTTAAAAGGTGACGAGGATAATCATGTGTGGTACAGTGATGAACGCAAGGCAGTATTTTGCATAGAAATCAAGAGGTGATGCCAAACGGTAGACCAAAGAGATTGAAAGATTCTTAGAGAAAGTGATACGTGACTGAGACATCCTAAATAACCCATACTGTACATGCATCATAATGGATATTTGATCAAATGATGAATCACACAGATGGGGCTAAGTTTTTTTTTAATACAAGATGATTTTCTTTTTGAATATACATGCATTTTTCAAACAGATGAGAGGCCTGCATTAATCAAATTAGCAGTAATTTAGGTATATTTGAGGCCAGGATTGCTTGACAGATTTGACGAATAGCGAAAGTGAAAGTGAGAGTGATTTTGAGCGTAAACAGGATGAGCACAAGGATATAAACTGCAAAAGAGGTCACTCATTATAAAATGGTCCATAGACTCTACAAAAATGTGAATATCGTTGAGAACAATACAACATATGACATGGAAAGAGAGTCATGAACAATACATGTACAACATTTGATTGAGAAAGTGAAACACTATTATAACAGAAAGCTTAAATATGTAACTTAGAGGGAAGCAATTAATTGTACATCCTTTATCTAACAAAGAGATTACATATAACCTTGAACATTGATTTTACTTCTGAAAGCATTTGAAGAGAGAGAATTTTAAGGAGACTGTATTATGAAGAACAATTCAACATGGGGTTTCGTAGCAAAATGAAACTGCAAAGCGTGTATATACATGAACGAGCTTCAACGGTATTTCCGGTGTTGCGGTACGATACGAAATCGGATATTGATACGAGAATGAAAAGTGATGAAAAGTCATTGTCGATTCCCTTGCTTAAATGAGGGCACTATGTAAGATAATCTTTAGTACAATAAGGACAGAAAGATGATATAAGATAGTACAACTCATGAGGACCGTCATGGTCGATTCCCATAATAGAGGGCGCTACATAAGTTTAGCTGTATACGATAACGAAAGAGAGATGACGTAGTCTGATTTGATTTGAAATGAATGGATGCAGACGTGATGATGGCGAGGATGGCCAACATCGCCGAGCGAGGGATGATGCGTAGTCGTGGCGATGAGAGAGCCGGTCTAAGGCCCAGCGGCGCCGGCCTGCTCGACTTCCGGTCCACCCGGCGGGACCAACTTCTTGCTCTTGCCGCGTTGCTCCGTGAGGGCCGTACGCAGGGCCTGCTGGCCGAGGTAGGTCTCGCGTTTGATCTGGTTCTTGACGAACTCGGGCATGTCGGGAATGATGTATGCCACAAAGAACTTGGTGAATAGGACGAAATGCTATGCGTTGATGGAGAGAGAGGGTACAGGTGGTTATGTATATACAGATACATACAGATTAAACAGAGAGAAAGTTTGAATGATCGTATTGACAGGTTGAGAGAGAGGGAGAGAGAGAGGGAGAGAGAGAGAGGGAAGGAGAGAGAGAGAGAGAGAGAGGGAGGGAGAGAGGGAGGGAGAGAGAGGAAGGGAGAGAGAGAGAGAGAGAGAAACAGAGTAGAGAGAGAGAGAAACAGAGTAGAGAGAGTAACCAAGAGAGTATAAATGTGAAGGCAAGAGATAATATTATAAAGAAAGGCAGAGAAAAGAGATCAAAAAATAAATCAAGAGATTGGAGAAAAAAGGGAGAAAGAAGAAAGTCAAAAGAGAAAAAAACAAAGAGACAAAACAGCAAGTAAACAGAGGGAGGACAGAGAGATAGAGATAGAGAAAAGAGGAAACGAGATAGAGAAATCATGGGAGAAACAGGGAAAGAGAAAGAGAAAGAGCAAGCAAACAAGGATAAAGGGAGTGTTTCAAATTAAAAGAGAAAAAGAGATAAGGTGAGATAAAGAAATACATATCACAAGAGAAAAAGAGAATAATCGAGAAAGATAGAGAGAAAGAAGGAGTTTAGGTAGAAAAGGCATGATATACAAATGTACACACATTTTATTTTCTTAACAGGACATATGAAGATAAAATGGGAATATTGTGATGTGCCAGTGATATTTTCAGTTGAAGAAACGAATAGCTAGCAATATATTTAAAAAAAAATATGTATCACACAATAAAAAAATGAGTATATGGCAGCGTATAATACAGTGAGTTTCTATGTACTTTTTGAAAGATGCTTGACAAAAAATCCATAGGTAAACCCCATATTTCTTCACAAAATAACTGGATATTTATTTTCTTCACAAAATAACTGGATATTTCTTTATCTGATAATTTTATTCATCTTTTTTTTCTCAATACAATGTAAAATTCTTGCAACTCTGTAAATTTCATGATAATCTGATAAGTTTGTAAGTTAGTTACATATAGTATTTAAAGATAGTTAGTCCAACTTTGATATAAACCTGTTTCGATTGTGTAATTACAACCCCATGCACTAATGACATGTTATTACTACGTTACTTTAGCATAAATGATTAAGTGGTTCTTAATAATACTCGTTAGTCTGTCTTGAATGTAATACATCGCACTCAAGTGTCCTCGAAATTAATTACGCAATGTCAAAATAAAACATCCTGCTATATGCGATGGTGTTAGTTTCACAAGCATGGAAATGATAAATACATGAATGGATTTTTTATGAATGAAAGCAGCACAAGTTTATTAATCTTGGCTTAGCTTTGCCATGTCTGCATGCCATATATCATGATGAATATATAACAATGAAAGGAAATGTCCTTCAATATATTGCCTTATTAGAAACCACAGGCGTTTATGTGATGCTACGAAGCAGGATACCATACAGATGAATGAAGATTAAGTATTATTAACGTGTTGGCTATGACCAAGTGCACATCCGGAAACATCTAAAAATGTAAATCCGGAATCTGAAAATAGATTGCGAGGTATTTATTACCGCCATTAGCGAACAATCATGGCTTAGGAAAAGAAACCACTTGCGTTGCTGCGTGCCAAGTTTTTCCAAGAAAATTTCTCCAAGTGATGGCGTTTGCAATTTCTGGTATATTACTTTTGATTAACAAATACGCTTACTGTTTGTATATTTTTACAACAAATTTACTGTCGAGATAGATGGAGAATAGCAGATAACAAATTGTAAGCATATCGTAGTATAGCAGAATAGAATCTTTTAGAATCACAGGAAATTAGCGTGTCTGCAAAATCGCTGAGATATCGGAGACGCAATGCATTGTGGGAATGCACATTGCTATATGCGATAGTGAGAATTATAAGCATGATAGTGTTTAGAATATTAGTTACTCCCGTACTTGATTTTGATAAGAAATGAGACAAAGTGAATGAATTTTACAAACATCAAACTCATGAATGCGAGGATAATGAAAAATGAGCAACATTGATGACGGTTCTGGTGAGGAAGCAATTTCCAGCTTCGGGATAATATCCAGAGTCTGAAAAAAATGGGCTATTTGGCAAACTCAAGCTGATGAAGACATGCCTAATGTGTATGATCACTGCCGTTAATACATGTATGTTAAATAAATAATACACTCCCTATTCTGGGGATCATTCTCATCAAGCCAATTTTAGCTTTCATGATTCCCCACTTCCTTTTATCTTATGTTGATAATGACAAACATGTAATATACTTTTGATGTTTTTTAAAAGAGAGTGAAATAGAGTGAAATAGATAAATGAAATAAAATGAAATAATCAATCCTACAGCATTAAACTCTGTATTCTGGGTTTTCATCTTGCTCTTTCCTCTGATGTTAAAGCTTATCTGCACTGGTTTGGCCAGGAGGGATTAGACCACACAGCGAGGTCACTGACGGGTGGCTATCTCATCAACTCTCAAATAACATAAGAAATAGAGGATCATGGGGGACCAACAGGCACCGATTGGGGAAGTTTTCTATAAAGAGGGAGCAAGTAGCTTCAAGTAGGACAGTGGGGCTTTAAATAGAAGATTAAACTTAATAAAACTGTTTTGTTTCTTCTTCTTCCTCAAAGCAACTTTTCACCAATATCTACCCAAACCTTCCATTGTTAGTGGTCCGTCACCAAGAAGGGGGTATTGCTAGAAAGTTTTTACTTTGGGGTGGGGTGGCAATGTTGGATAAAAGTTGATGAAAAGCTTTCCCCAAATTCCACAGCCAACCAAAAGCAAACAAACAAACCACAAATTTGCAAACACTGATTAAGGATTTGGCTACAGGAAATTGAGACACAACTCCTCAACAAACATCCCGACATGACCTGTGTTATTAGCATACACACACACCAATATGAGTACTCCGTCAAACCCAATACACCAACCACCTACCAATATAAGTATTCCATAAAACCAAAGACAACAAACTGCACAAAACCATCTACAATTATCATGAAATTTTCAAAGCCGATAAATTTTAAAGCCAATAAAAATGCACCGTCCAAAAGAGGCCCTGACAGTGTACTTCTCAAATACAATTCCCACTCACTGCTATTCATTAACAAAATTATCAAAAACAAAACACAACTTATCACACCCCCATGTTGAAAATGGAAGAATCTCCTCAACAGCATAATCCTGTTATAAAGTGGGTAGCTACCATTTGGGTTGGGGGGGGGGGGATAAAATCTAGAGATTTGAAGAAAAAAAAGCCACACATTTCACTGCATCCCTTCAATGGGAATGGAAAAGTCCTAATATTTGCTTTCATGCAATAAATGGGAAGGTACCATTTGATTTTAGGGGGTGGACTTACCTCATAGAGCAGGATAAAGGCCAGCTTAATGGCGATGACCAGCCAGTAGTCCAAGGTGACATTATAATGTTCATCGTAGTTACCACGGTATCTTTGAAAATGGAATTATTGAAGAAAAGAAAAGAAAAGAAAAGCATCATTTAAACTGGAAATATGCACTTCGTATACCCTCATTTTGAACAAACCAGTGATGAATGGATTTGGTTACTCCAGTGCTTTTCATTAATTTGTGATTTCAAACAAGAATTTGGCCAAGTTGAGGACAGTTTTGATACCATTCCTCAGAATACATAATCTTTCTTCTGTACTAGTGCCTATCTCAATAACAATTTTTAATTTTACAGTCATAGGTTCTGATAGTTCTTTGTACGAATTGAAAATCTAGTGCCGTTTTCATTTGTTGCACGCTTTATTGCCACAGAGGGGGCTGATCACAAATCAACAGTTATATCGGTCAAATTCATTTTGAATTGTGTACAAATAGAGTTTTTGAGTCTAGTATTAAATAAACATCTGGAATTAAACATTTAAATTAATGTGTTGATAGCCACTTTGGTTGGAGGTTCCTAACGGTGGACCTCTTCATTATACCACTGGATTCATGGACCTTCAGTTTCCTAGGTCTGCAAAAAGGAAAAACATCTTTAATCTATGCCCCTTGTTTGCGCCCATCCAACTTGTATCATGCCAGCAAATTCAAACTTAAGGGCTTTCTCGGGTGTCTAAAGGGTCCGTCCAGAAAGTTGGGGCAATTTTAGTGACATACCAGAAGTAAGAAACTATGTCTCCTATCAACGATAACAATGTTTGCTAAAATGAGTTTTGCATAAAAAGCATAGCCAACTAACTTCAGAAGTACTCAAGCTTCATGATGAATCAATATTATGGACCCAAAGTTTATGTAATGTTATATAAATATGGTGTCCATGTAACGCAGGTAAGAAGATAAATGTGTATCAAACAAAGATTTTGAAGAAAAGCAACTGAAACAGAAACGATTCTAGCAGGGCACTACTATTTATATTCATTTCATAAAAATCTTCAACAAATAATTTCAACTTCCATGTGTAGTAGAAGATCTCATACCTACGTTACATGGACACCGTCATATTTTTTGCCCTATTTTTATGGAATGACCCAAAAAGAAACTGACTGAAAAGATTACCTAGACAGGGGTGATGAAGAGCACTAAAAAAAAAAAGGGGGGGGGGGGTTTCCCTTCAACCACGCTCCCCTTGAGTGGAAAAAAAAAGAGGATTCAGGGGGGAAAATGGCATCAAACGACATTCCGCCCTTTTGAGTAAGAAAATCTTGAAAAAATAGGAAGGAATCAAGAAAATAAGGAAAAATCTGAAAAGAATCTGGAAAAAAAAAAAAACTAGATGGACCTTCGGCCGGTCCAGTCGAAAATGATGCCTCCGCCATGGAGCAATTTTACAAACCAAAACAGAAGCGAGCAATTTTTGCATACATGACCCAAGTTTGGCGGGAATCCATCAATGGGTTCTTGAGATAAAGCGATCACGAGCTATTTTTGAATACATAGTGAGCCCTGTGACCTTTGACCTTGGATCTCGTGATCCTAAAATCGAATCAGGTCATTGGCTCTGCAAGATACATATATGACCCTAGTTTGGCAGGAATTCATCAATTGGTTCTTGAGATAACGCGATCACGAGAACAGGAAGTACGTACGTACGTACATACAGACGGACGGACAACCTGAAAACATAATGCCTCCGGCTAATTTGTAGCGGAGGCATAAAAAAAAGGATTCGGGAGGAAAAAATGGCATCAAACAACATTCCGCCCTTTTGAGTAAGAAAATCTGGAAAAAAAAGGGAAGAATCAAGAAAATCAGGGAAAAATCTGGAGAAAAAAATAAAAAATTGGGATGCCGATTTAAAGAGAAGGTTGAGTTCTGGGAAGAGGTGAAAAATAATTTGTGAGCGTTATCATTCTTATTATGCAAGTGTGAAAGAATATCACATAAGACATGTTCCCTGAAAAGCATGGCTCTTCAAATGCCTTCATATTCTAACTATGTCATGTAACATCGTAAAACTCCAGGGTATGATTTTAATGCCACGTGTTTGTGTAGTCCCATATACATCTTTCTGTGTACAGTGTTTGTAAGTTTACCAAGACTTGGCCAAATTTCTTATCATTTTGATGATTCCAGAACCTTGCAATACACACAAATTCTTACATGCTAGATGATCAACCTTTTCTGGTCGATTCCACACCGTTTCTTTCACAATGCAATCGCATGACCAGAACTCAACTTCATCTTTAAATCAGGTTTTTATCAGGCCTGCCAGAGGAAGACTGACCTGCATACGGATACGTTCAATCCATAGTTGGGGTCCGTGGTGTCCTCATCACCAACCCTGGGGTAACTCGGATCTGTGGGCTTAGAATCATTCTGCATGTCCACGGTGTTGAAGTAGGAGAGCGACCAGTTGGTATAGCCGTTGAGCGTTGCCTCGGGTCCTCCGTAGTAATACTTAAAGACTTGACGCGGGATGAACTCGGACGTGAAGGCAATGACAAGGGCCTGTCGTGGAGATGAACACAATTAATTTATTTATTGATATATTAATTAATATAATATTAAAGCCCCACCGCACTAGTTTGGCCAGGAGGATTAGACTCCCTGCATGGTTACTGACAGGTGGTTATCTCATCAATCAGCTCTCAATTAACATAAGAAAAAGGGGATCATGGGGGACCAACGGGTACCGCGTAGGCATTGTTTGCTATATAGAGGGCGCAAGTAGCTATAAGTAGCGCACCGTTTAGTTGAGGTGAGATAAACTTGGAAGTGAAAAGTATAATAAGGGCCTGTTATTAAAAGAGAGAGATAGACATAATAATAGTATTGGATATTTATATAGCGCACATATCCACCCTGCAAGGTGCTCAAGGCGCTCCAATATTACCCTGGCTCTGCTAGGCTAACGATTTTGGTGCTCACAGCATTTAAGGAATTCCTTCCCAACCGATACCAATTTCACACCTGGGTGGAGAGCGGCAAATGTAGATTAATGTCTTGCTAAAGGCCATTAGTGCCGTGGTGGGACTTGAACTACATACCCTGTGATCCACTAGACCACAACACTTCTACACATAGAATATTAACAGAGAGAGAGAGAGAGACAAAGAGATAAACAGGTTGTCTTTATGAAAAAGGAGAGAGAGAGAGAGATAGACAAAGACATACAGATTGTCTTTATGAAAAGGAGAGAGAGATAGACAAAGACATAAACAGGTTGTCTTTATGAAAAAGGAGAGAGATAGACAAAGACATAAACAGGTTGTCTTTATGAAAAAGGAGAGAGATAGACAAAGACATAAAAAGGTTGTCTTTATGAAAAAGGAGAGAGAGAGAGAGACAAAGACATAAACAGGTTGTCTTTATGAAAAAGGAGAGAGATAGACAAAGACATAAACAGGTTGTCTTTATGAAAAAGGTGAGAAAGGTGTTTTTAAGGGAACAGAAAATGTGGTCTTTACAGACAGGTGGTTACTAGTATAAAGCTTAGCTAGTTTCAATACACAGTGAAATCTGTCTATAAAGACTACCCAAGGGAGACAAGAAAAGTGGTTTTTATAGGCAGGCTGTCTTTGTAGACAGGTGGATATAGTACATGTTTCAATGAGAAACCATTTTCAAGGGAAACAAAAAGCGTTGTCTTTGTCGACAGGTGGTCACTTAAGCAGGTTTGACTATACTTACATTGGTTAAGACAGACAGGTTTCCAACGGTGACTAGGATTGCATACCAAGCACCTATAAATGAGACAAATTTGTGAGATAAACATATTAGCCGCTTCTAATAATTGGATTGTATTTACATGAATTGAATTTATGTTGTGTGGTAGTAGTTTACAACTGGGCCCCATTTCACAAAACTTGTCATCAGTGACAAATGACAATTTTCGTTATAAGCTAGTGAAATCCTTGCTTCTGAATGGTTATCAGAAGATTTTTCACTGATTTTTGTCATGTGTCACTGAAAAAAGGCTTTGTGAAACGGGTCCCGGGTCTAACACAAGCATAATAACAATCTTCTTTGTTTGATGAACTTTATATTATCTAGTTATACTGTACTTTACAACTGTTCTTACACTACCACTTCAGCACTTAACACCTTACCATTTCATCTCTTCGCGACTGGTCAGAGCAAAGCTCCCTTTTACAAATTAAACACTAGCACATTACCGAAACCCTTCTTACCGAAATCCTGGGCCCTCTTGGCGACTGGTCGTCGGAGCTGAGAGATATTTGTAGGCATCGAGACGGACCTCAACGAGGTTGTTAGAAAGAGCGAAGAGAGAGACTTCTCTTTTACAACAAATTAAACACCAACACATTTACTGAAACCCCTTCTTATCGACATCCTGTGCCCTCTTGGCGACTGGTCGTCGGAGCCGAGAGATGAATTTGTAGGTATCGAGATGAACCTCAACGAGGTTATTAAAAAGAGCGAAGAGAGGAGCTCTCTTTTACAACAAATTTAAAAGAGACGCATTACTAAAATCCCTTCTTACTGATATCCTGGGCCCTCTTGGCGACTTGTCGTCGGAGCTGAGAGATGAATTTGTAGGCATCGAGACGAACCTTAAGAAAGTTATTAAAAAGAGCGAAGGGAGGAGCTCTCTTTTACAACAAATAAAAATGACTGAAACCCCTTCTTACCGATATCCTGGGCTCTCTTGGCGACTGGTCGTCGGAGCTGAGAGATGAATTTGTAGGCATCGAGACGGACCTCAACGAGATTGTTCAGAAGAGCGAAGAGAGGAGCCAGAGGGAAAGCAGCCACAAAGATGGTGGAGAAACCAAACTGAACGACTGAAAAAGAGAAGAGGAATAATAAAAGGATGATAACTTGTACTTTCAATTTTGGGAATACATGTATCAATGTGAGTGGGATTTAGAACTAAAATTTTTTTTATTACTTGCAAGCTCTACAGGAAAATTGATTTCATTCAAAAGAAGAAGAAGAAGATATTGCATTGGGGGTGGGGGGGGGGGGGGGGGGGGGGTGAGAAACCATTTTCAAGGGAACCCCAAAATGAGGTCTTTGTAGACAGGTGATCACTGTTCACAATGGGTACCTGGTAGGATGTGAAAGTTCATGTGGTTGGACAAGCAAGTGTGCGCTTGCAAAATGGCGACTGGCTGGAATGCTCCCCAGGGAGTGGAAAATGTGCATACATTGTGCGCGGGTAAGCCTGAATCCAATGACCGGGGTATTAACATCTCTGTAAAGTGCTTAGGCACATCGTTGGATCGATGTATTGAGCGCTATATAAACACAGAATATTATTATTATTACTATCACTAAAGCAGGTTTGACTGTATCAGACCAATAAAATCGATCCTAATCCAAAAATTGCAAGAGAGACCGAAGAGAAAGAACTTACCCATCTCGAGGTATTCCTTGAAGAGCCCTCGTGGTCCAAGATCGGCCAGGTCAGCGTCCTGTTCCCACTGCTCATAACGTCCCTTGCCGCTCTTCTCCTCCTTGCGACCGGTACGAGAACGCCAGAAGTTCATCAGGACACTGGAAGGGGAGAGATAATGAGAAACAGCCCATGTGATGTGAGTGAATGAAGAAGGGGTTTATTGTCCAGTATTCAAACCAGGGCCCCGTCTTACAAAGAGTTACAATTGATCTGAATCAATCGTTAGTCTTCTTATCAATCGCAAGTTTGCAGTTGGACTATCTCCTATGTACATAGTTGCGATTAATATCCTCTCTTTGTAAGACAGGCCCCAGTTGATGTAAACATCATTTCAGGGGGGTTTTTCACAAAGACTAATATCAACTTTAAGTTGGACTAACTATGGCAAGCCGTTCATGCCACTGTTTGCTCTCAACATTATGATCTTTAGATTTTTTCCTTCAATAATGAACTATCAAAAAATGTAAATTCTGTAGATTTGTGACGATTTATACATCACTTGAGAGACTAATGCCAGTAAATGATAAGAGCAAACAATGGCATGAATGGCCTGCCATAGTTAAGTCCAACTTAAAGTCGATATTAGTCTTTGTGAAACATCCCCCTGGGTAAAGTTAGAGTCCCTGGCGGATTTGTCTCCTCCTCAAGACCGGTGAACGAACGCTAGAAATTCATCAGGATACTACAAAAGGAATTCAAGTATCCAATGAAACAGCCCGGAAACTACCACATGTGCTATTTTCTAGTCCCACTAACTAACTTTTAGCACATGTATTTATCCTGTAACATTTTCGATATATATTGTAAAGGGATGCTACATGTATGTATACAAGTTGTAGCAGGGTTGGCCAAGACGTAATGTGTTCATCATTCTTTGAAAAATTACTAATATTATTTAATCGATATATAACTTACAGCAATTAACAAAATAAATTATGTTTAATCTTTATGGTTTTATGTGATATCTTTGGTCAATAAAATAACTCCAGCCAACTTATTACTCACTGAAGTATAAGAACAGAGCGCCCAAAATCGTTAAAAAAAATACTTGTTAAAGCCTGTCTGCACTAGTTTGGCAAGGAGGGATTAGACCTCCCTGCAAGGTCACTGACAGGTGGTTATCTCATCAAATCAGCTCTCAATTAACATAAGAAAAAAAGGGATCATGGGGGACCAACGGGTATCACTTAGGTATTGTTTGCCAAATATAGAGGGCGCAAGTAGCTACAAGTAGTGCGGTGGGGCTTTAATAGAAAATAAGAACTGAAGAACTGACAACTTACGGCATAGCCAGCTCCATGAAGTTGTTGAAGAATTGCTTTCCGCACATAGTGATAGCAATATTAATGAAGAGTTCTTGCATACATCCAGCAGGGTCACACTGAGAACAGACACAGAAAAATAATAAAATATAGTCAATTATTATTATTAAAGGGAAAATCCAACCCGATTAGACAACTGCTCTAAAAGAAAGCAGAAAAATCAGAGAGTTGCAATTAAATCTTACGTAATAAAAGAAAGTTATTCATTTTTGAAAGTTAAAATCACTATACAAAAATTTAATGAGGGCTTGTAACAGTATCTCGACAAGTATGTGTTTAAAGGTAAAGACCAGTTATGGTCATGCGATTGCATTGTGAAAGAAACGTTGTGGAATCGATCAGAAAAGGTTGATCATCTAGCATCTAGCATCTGCAAGGTTCTGGAATCATCAAAATTCAAAATGATAAAAAATTTGGCCCATTCTTCGTAAAGTTACAAGCACTATACACAGAAAGATGTATATGGGACTACCCTATATCTCTCACAGACCATGAGAGAAACAAATTTACCAAATATATGAATTAGTAGGCGGTTTCCCGGCAAATTTTTTATCATCATGTATTAGTCAAAACATATTCTTTCACATGATTGGTAATGAGAGCTTCAATTTCATTTTTTGAAATTGGGGCGTTTCCAATACTGGTTTTTACCTTTAATCATTACTTCATCTGTTGTATGGGAAAGAACCATATATTTCTTGTTATCAATCTTTAAAAATAAAAATCCTCACCTCTTCCTGACGCCATATTCCGAAAACACGTCCATAGTCAGCTGGGGTACCGGGTAGGCTGTTACAAAAAGAACAGATTAAGTTTATGAAATTCAAATTAGCTTTAAAAATGTCTCATGCTTGTAAAGTAATGTATTTATCTACCCACATGTAAGACAAGTTGCATTATAAAAATAAATTTTATTTCAATGCTTAAAGGAATCGTTTATTAATGTTAAATTTGAGATGCATGGCCATACGTGTTATCAGTGTCTTTGATATGGTGTAAAATTGAAGCCCTACAAAAATTGCGCTTCAAAAAGATCATGAAGTGCCTCAAAAAAGTAAAAATCTTTGAGTGACCGGTTTTACCATACTCATTTTACGCAATAGACTGTAGTGTTATAAAAAAACATTTGAGAAATAAAATTTGATTTCCAATCATAAATATCTTGATAATCAGACAGGCAATGCTTGACCTTTAACCTAGTTAATGACGATGCTTACCGGCCCTTGAAGAAAGCAATGTAAAAACTGGTAGAGTAGTAATTGACGAATGCAAAGAGGTACATCTTGAAGGTGAAGCTGTCTTCGTACTCTGTCTCCGTACGGTGCAACTCTGTGGTCAAATAGATGATCATTTGTACGTCAACATTTCGGACATTGCTTAGCGCAAGACAACAGAATAACCCCCGCCTCCTATTAAAGTATTACGTGACCAATATGTTCAGTTTATAAAATTTAGGAGAATCTACTTTTTTTCCATTCTGAGTATAGCAAATTAATTCCATTTTAACTTTTTATAACATTTTCTAATCTTTTGCAATTCAATAATTTCTGATCCTATCATTTCCACTGTTATGAATGAAACGCATACAACATGCAAAGAGATTGTAACATGCATGTAATGTAATATGCCGAGTCTAATGGGTGTTAACTCAAATCATTATTTTCCACTGAAAACTACATACATGTACATAAATCAATGACATATTACAGTCTAACCTGCTTTAACCACCACCTGTATAGAAAGACCACCCGTCTATAAAGGCCATATTTTTTGTTTCCCTTAATTACGGATTCTCATTGAAACATGTACAAAAGGAACCTGTTCTGTTCATAAAGACCAATTTTCTTGTCTCCCTTGGGTGGTCATTATAGACAGATTTCACTGTACTTTTGTTAATATACGTGGCGGGATCATAAAGTGCATCAAAAGGTTGCTGGAAATAACCCCCCTTTGGGAAATGATAGAAGTGAACGTTCAGCTGGCAATATCACATGGTCCACGTATAAACCCAAATCTACAATAAATAATCATTACATTTGTGAGAAAGGAACTTACCCAGATTAGTCAGCCAAACTGCAATACGCTCGTACAGCTGTAAAGGAAAACGGAGTAGAGACGATTAAGGGTACATAATTACACCATTTAAAGCTCCTCCAAAGTGTTGGGAGCCACAAATTCGCCACAAATTTTATGGCAAAGAGGATGTCATTTAAGACACACTTCTGCAAAAATTTCCCCTCAAGGATTGTGTTTGAAGAAAAATATTGATAAGTGAATACATAATTTGTGTTTCCTGTGAGTATTAGGGAAAAGTTCCGACGTCAAGGCACCAGTGATGACTACAATTTGGATCAAAAGCAACTCAAATCAAAAGCTACTGTAAGAGTGTTGGGCGCCCCCCCCCCCAAAAAAAAAAAAAAAAACAAACAATGGAGTGAAGTGTGCAATGCTTTTTTTTGTTTTGTTTTGGAGTCCTTCAGTGCGAAAATTTAATCACGCGAAAAAAACAGCATTTATAGTATTCTATAGTTTTTCTGGAATTTCAGTCAGACTCACTATCTGCAGGATCATGATGAGGATGAGCGAGATCATGGAAGCCGTAACCGAGGTGATGATGGAGGCGTACGAAGAGATGAATTCCTGATCGATGGCGAAGATGGCCGTCTTGACGACGATCCTGTAGACGATGACGGTCATCACGGCGGCCATAACGAGCAGAATCTAGGAGGATCGTGGGAGGAATCGGTCAAGAGACCACAAAAGAAGTCAGGCTTTGCTTTGGATTATTACCGGTACTACGTTCTACTCTTGAGAGCAAGAAGCACATACACTTGCATCATTCAACATTGATTTATGCCCTTCTCATTCTAACTAGATTTCAATTCCTTTGTTCTACTAAAAATTGGGCTTAAAGACCATCTGTACTAGTTTACAGGAGGGATTAGACCACACTGCAAGGTCACTGGACAGGTGGTTATCTCATCAACTCAGCTCTCAATTAACATAAGAAAAAGAGGATCATGGGGGACCAATGGTCACCGATAAGGCATTGTTTGTTATATAGAGGGCGCAAGTAGCTACAAGTAGTGCAGTGGGCCTTTAAAGCTTGTGTTCAGAATCTGGTTAAACAAAGTAAGTTAGTGAGAAGTCTAACTTTTCCTATTAGGTTTAACTGAGTGGGTACAATATTGACCTTGGAGTTTAAAGGCCCACTGTCCTACTTGTAGCTACTTGCGCCCTCTATATAACAAACAATGCCTAATCGGTGACCATTGGTCCCCCATGATCCTCTTTTTCTTATGTTAACTGAGAGCTGAGTTGATGAGATAACCACCTGTCAAGTGACCTTGCAGGGCGATCTTATCCCTCCTGTAAACTATGGCAGATAAGCTCTAAAGTAATAGGTCTCATGGCCTAATAAAAGTCTAAAATTCAATATGAGAACTGCCAGGAGGTTTTAAACTGACTTGACTATGTTTATGTTGACTTTTTTGTTCAAACTAAAATACATACAAAATTGATGTATCATTGATCTTATTTTAACTCCCTGTTGCAATTTGATTTCAATGATAAGAATTCAAATCTTTGGCAGATTATCCATTTATCAATCTGTTATGTGCAGTCAGTTTTGCGTGCTATATATTTTTTTCATTTTCTTAATATTTTTTTTAATGTATTTCTGCACTGGCAAAATTTGCCATAACTTGTAAAATGCACTTTGAATCAAAATCAGCAAATGCTAACATGCTTTTTGAAAATAGTGCTAAGAAATGACATGCAATAACACACATATTATCATTCATACAAGCAGTGCATAGTTTTCGTTTCAATAAAATTGCAAATAATTTCAAGAAATTTACACTCCGTGCTGGAGGGGCCTTTAGTTCGATGTATTTTTAAGGTAAATAGATGCATTCATTTTGTGATGCAATATCTTTTATACATACATATATTGCTATACCAATAGTGGTAAGAGTAATTATATTATCTCTCAAACATAATAGTTATAATAACAATAATGATGATTATCAGAGGCTGTTTCTGTGTATATAGTGCTAGTCCCTTTCTAATATATAGTTTCAGCAAATTAAATACAGTAAGACCTATTTTTCCTTGTCCTGGCCTTTACGGTTTGGGCCTTGACTATAACTTCATAGACTACATTCATGACTATATCAAAATGTTACATAGCAACTTCAAGTTTTTGTTTTGAATAAAAAAAAAAATGTATTGGGGAAAGTTGAGTATTAGGGGAAACTTCCCCAATTTCAGGGCACCAGTAATGACTACAATACTATTATACAAATATGGAGAAAACATCAACCATTTGCAAATATCCTATTCATGCATTGTTGCTACAAATTTGAGCCCATTCTGGCATGTAAGTATGTTCCTGAAATTTTCCAATCATATGATTAACTGCGTTTTCCCTCATAGTTTTACTAACATCCCTGCTTCTATATTAGAGTGGTTTCAGAACTTCTGAAAAGCTCAACATTAAAAAAAACTTTAAATCCCTTTAAAGTAATTTCAAGGTATTTGCAAATGGTCGACACAATCTTTCGCTAGGAAATTAGATCATTTTCAATCGATCACAATGACAAAGGGAGTGTATAGGAAATCACAGTTACAAGGATAAAGAGTAAAATAGACTTTTAAAAGCATTAGAGATCTACTTGCAAGAACAGTGCTTGCATGTCATAGTCATTTGACGTCTTCTTTCTTAAAATGTAGTATGCTTGCGGTTTTGGGTTCAGTTTTGGCTTTTGTAAGACATCATACAAGTAAATTTTTAATTTAGAGACGGCAAAATTAATTCTCCATCTTATTCTGACCAAACTTTAAAAATTTGTAAGCAGCATACAGACAGTTCTTATAGAGATCTCTACTGCTTTTTGTTTTCTATACTTGTCAAAATCAATATTGAAATAAAATCACACACTCTAAAGTTGTTAAACATGTTATACAATCACAAATTATAAAATTACTGGTAAAAAATTAATAAACACCAAAATAAATGTTATATAGTTTTTTATAAGAAATAGGATTAAGTATGACGAGAAAGAAGATATTATACTCCGATTTAAACCCAGCAAATATCATTCCAGAAAAACGATACAAATATTGATATACATATATACAACAAGACTTACAATCCCCAAAATATGTGTTAATGAAGTTTACGAGCTTCCCAATAATTATATTTTAGCTATGAATTTTTGTTTTACAATAAATTATAAGACAATTTGCAAGAGTGTGATAATGGGAAGGAAGGGATATGGATTTATATACACAGTCAACATTAAATAAAGCTAAAATACTGCAAAAGCACATCTTCTGAACAGTAACTGCTTATTCTTTTAGTTGCTCATGTTTGTATATAAACAAAGATTCCATTATCCCATTTGTATTGTAAAATTGCACCCATTTCATATATCATTTAGAGGTATATTTTGTCCAGTCTACCAGTTTTTTTCCCCATTCACCTTAAGCCCCAAAGCATTGTAAATTAAAGCATTTTTAGAAAGGATTACATATAATTTTCAGTATTGAGAAAAAAATGGTGAATTATAGAGAATATTCAGAAGGGTAGGATAAAACTTGTTAATGATAGGAAATATATGAAATGGCCGAAAGCATCAAATATTTTAAGGATTTTAATATCACTGATTTTGCTACCAAATGTATCTGAAAAGACCTTTAATATAAATCATAATTTTAAAAATCTTGTGAATTTACAAAAATTTATGTGAAATCGGTTGAGGCTGCATGACTACATCAAACAGCTACAGCACCACATCTGTATATTCCCTAATAAATTCAGAATACACTTAAAATGTACAATGGCAAGAATATATCATATGTTGACATCAATACAATCTTAGAAGTTTTCTACAATAATAGAAAAAGGCATTCAGATAAATCTACACACAAGCATTGAAGCTCCATACAAATCTGATATACATACAAGTGCTTGTGCACAAATTACATGTACAATGAAAGAAAACCTAAGATGTTGCACAAATTTAGCTGATAAAGAAAACAAATTTACAGTTCAATCATAGAAAAATTGGATACGATTAAAGTTGATAGATAATAAATAAAGCTTATAAATTGATGAACTTTTATTTAAGTAGCTCATTTTTTGGGCTCCCAACACTTAAGAGCCTAGAGGGGCTTAAGAGTTGAATAGTCAAGTTTGATATTAATAGTAGATACCTACAGTTAAAAACTAAATTATTCATACCATTACAAAATTGTGTAATTTCTGTGAAGTATTTGAAAAAATGATTTGTCCCAATTTATGTTTCAAGAGAATGTAACATTCAAGATTACATCAAAAAGTATTTGATAAAGGCCCTAATTCAACCAGTCCACCTTTCATTCTTGACTTTCCAAAACACAAAAATATAAAATTTACAAAGGGGGTATGAATAACTTAACTGTAAACTGTATTAGTAACCATACTCAAAACCAACCCATGACTTGCCATGCACTCTGAATATGCACTGAGATTGTAACTCTTGGGGATTTTTTCTTCTATTCTTTTATTTGCTACTTCAAAAGAATTTTTTTGCAAATTTGCTGAGGCATTTCATTCTTTTCAACAACAAAATAAGCAGAGGATTGTTTGAAGTTTACTGGAGCTAGACAGGTTGCTCTATCAAGCATTTGTTTCATGAGGCAGCCCTCAAGTCATTGGTCACTGTTACGGGTAGATTTACGGGTAGATTTACAGATAGATTTACGGGCAGATTTACAGGTAGATTTACGGGTAGATTTACAGATAGATTTTACGGGTAGATTTACAGGCAGATTTACAGATAGATTTACGGGTAGATTGACAGATAGATTTAGGGGTAGATTTACGGGTAGATTTACAGGTAGATTTACTGACACATCTTCAGGCAGGTAGGTTTTGAACATATGGGACACTTAAAGAGAAGGTCGAGTTCTGGTCATGCGATTGCATTGTGAAAGAAACAGCATGGAATCGATCAGAAAAAGTTGATCATGTTGCATGTAAATAGTGGTGTGTACTGAAAGGTTCTGGAATCATCAAAATGATAAGAAATTTGGCTCAGTCTTGGTAAAAGTAACAAGCACTGTACACAGAAAGATTTATCTTGGACTACAAAAACAAGTGGCATAAAAATGTCTTTTTCTTTGATGTTCTTCCACACTTGCAAAATAACAATCAAAACGCGCACAAATTATGTTACACCTCTCCCCAGAACTCAACCTTCTCTTTAAGCCTCTACTGTACTCTGTTATCAATATCTACATTACACTCTACATTTCATTTCTTTGGAGAAATAAGGACATTAAAGATGAAGTTGAGTTCTGGTCATGCGATTGCATCGGAAAGAAACGGTGTGGAATCGACCAGAAAAGGTTGATCATCTAGCATATAAGAATTTGTGTGTATTGCACTATTGAATTCTGGAATCATCAAAATGATAAGAAATTTGGCCAAATCTTGGTAAAGTTAAAAACACTGAACACAGAAAGATGTATATGGGACTACATGAACACGTGGCGTAAATATCCAACCCCCCGAGTTTTACGATGTTACATGACATATTTAGAATATGAAGGCATTTGAAGAGCCATGCTTTTCAGGAAACGTGTCTTATCTGATGTTCTTCCACACTTGCATAATAAGAATGATAACGCTCACAAATTATTTTTCACCTCTCCCCAGAACTCAACCTTCTCTTTAAGCCCCTTCTGTACTGTGTTAGCAATATCTACATTACACTCTACATTTCATTTGCTTGGGGCCATAAGGACATTAAAGGTATTGTGTTCCTTTTGCAGCCAACCTCAAATTCTGTAGAACTTTGCAGGAATAATGAATATATCACGTATGTCCTATCTGTGAAATTTAAGCGTTAGCAGTGTCCTAATATTCAAATTATGCAAGGAAACCCATTTACTTGCCAGACTTCACTGTCAGACACTATTGAGTGACTGACTGGCTTTTTTCTTCTTTGGTAATAACATACATAAAATGAGCTGTAAAGGGTACTTTAGCATTTGTCTACATTAATAACCCACTTCTTGTGATGGCCAAAATTAAGCATAAAACGTATGACCATTCGGTACAATGGTCTGAAAATCAAGACTATTACTTATTGGCTCTATAGCTCCTAAGTCGATTTGACAACTAATAGTCGTTATTTCCCCAATTGAAGACATTTTCAAGCCCCACCTTTTTTAGGGAAGTTCTAAATTAGTATCATCTTTCAAATGCCGTTGGGATTTAACCTTTTTATTTTTTTGGCTTGCAAATGGGACATAGTACCCTTAACAGACCTTGTAACTCCAAACAGATGATTCGATACACACACTTGTGCTTCATCCTACCATGAACAAAATAAGCGCTACTCCACCGACGAGGCGGGGGAATCGCACTTTCAGGGGAACAAACGGCTCCTCTCGCTACAGGGGTCAAGGGTTATGGTAGGGGTCAAGGGTTACAGCAGAGGTCAGGGGGTATAGGTTAGCCAGAGGGGACAATGAGGGGGCGTGTTTGTTACCCATGCAAATCCAGAAGAGGTGTTAGTTGAAACGAGAGAGAAAATTGTTTGGGTGTTACCAGAAGTTTGGATATCATGCACATGCATCAGGATGTTGGTTAGAGGTCACCGGGTTGCCCAAGGTTAGAGGTCATCCACAGGTCGAAGGTCATCCAGGATCCAAGTGTTTTAGTTGCCACATGCATGGATGGTTTATGAGGCATGTATCAATGGCATGGAAAACACACATTGGACATGTCATGGAGGTTTGTGATAACATGAGAGTCACAACGCATGTGAAATGAACGAAAACAAATCCCAATTTTGATATTTAATAACAAGCATTTTTTATTTCAAAGTTAAGTTGTTGGCATTGAATTTATATGAAAATTTCAATGATTTTTGTAATAAATATGGAATAAATATTTTGATAAATGTATACATGAAGATTTAGTTCCATGAATTTTGCAAAATGTTTATATTTGCAAGAAATCATTTTCAAGGGATATAATAATATTTATTATTTTTGTTAATATTTTATGCCATGTTTAGGAAGAAAAAGAATATAACAATTCAGAAGGAAAGTTTGCCCGAATCCATTAGGATGAAAATATAAGGAATTGATACAAGGACAGTACAATTAGACATTAATGAAATGTCATGTATTTGACAGAAATGCATCACAAGAGACAAAGGTGTAATGTCACAAGGTGAGTGAATTTGGAAGGAAAAGAGAGAAAAACCAAAAGGTTAGCTTCAAAAACACCAAGAGATTGAACCCCTAGAGCAAACCCATTCACAATGAGAACGAAAGGGCATTAATAGAGTCATCAGCTAAAAGGAAAAGTCAGTGAAAGTTGGTGAAAATTTCAATATCCTTGGTTAAAATAACGGTTAAACACATGCAGAAGATGAAAATGAGAATTGGAAATAAAAAGAAAAAGTGAAAGTTCATAGGGTGTAAAACTTGGGCGTGGGCAGTCGAAGGGTGTACCAGTGGAAAGAGGTAGACGGTACATGCATATCATTAGACAATAGTCAGTTAGTAGAGAAGATAAGCCATACATACAGAGTTAAAACTTGTTCAAGTAATGAAATACACCAATCAGATAACAAGATGCATGTATAGTTGTGTAAAAGTTTATTAAGGTGAGTACAAAGCCATACATGAGGATGATACAAGCAAGGAGACGAGCTTTGTGTGGAGGTTAGTCGAGAAGAAGTTACACTTTAGGTTTCGAGGCGACACACTTGAACACACACAAAAACAGGTGGTAAAGAAGAAGGTGCTGCTATGTCGGGGAGCACCAGCTTATAATCTCTCACCATGAATGCAATTGTAAGAACGGACGTCGAAAATCGAGGGAAGCGCTTGGAGAACTTCATGTACTTCTCGGGAAGCTAAACAGAATCGTCAAACGCACAACAATAGAAAAACACATGCATACAGGTTATGTTTTGTACTATCATGATGCTATCTAGAGATTTTGTCCCATAATGCAACGGAGTATCGTTACAAAGGAAAAGCACTGAATTGGCTTTTGGGGGATTTTTTTTTCTCGTCTTGATTTGTTGTCAAGTCTCACCATGAAGAAAATGGATGCAATAGATGCCGAGAATCTCGGGAACTTTCTCGAGAACTTCATGTAAGGCTCGGTCAGCTGAGGGCGCCAAATATCAATTCACACGTCATGCAGTCAATCAGCGTATGTTAAAAAAAGTGTGATAGAATCGAGAAAACGTGAGCATGAGCCATGAATACATTAGACAAAATTATGAATAAACATAGAGGACAATCACTATGTATGAATATTCATGAGTACAGTATGACTGTTCACCAATGGGTGGCAGCGGTGGGATAGTTCATGAATATTAAAAATGAATTCATGAATAGACATGTTTTCATACAATGACATTGACAATGTATGAATATTCATGATTCTCCTCGAAAACCTGTTAGACAAGCAATGCATTGTAATCGATAAACACACAAACGATCAAGATTACAAAACAAGAACAAAATGAATATTCATGATCTTGGTGTCTAGGATATCTGTACATGGTCCAATCAGATCATCAGGTTCATGTTTCATGTTCTCCAAGCGACTTAAAAGTGTGATATAAAATGCACAAACCATGATTAGTTAATAATTCATCAACAAGATCATGGCATATTCCACTCGGGGTTGCAAAATGCTGTTGCCTGCAAAAGAAAAGTACAAATAGTTAGTCATGCCAAAATGGGGATGCTTTCTAGTAATATTTAAAATCTTTAAAAAATTGAAGCAAATAATAAGAACAAATAGATTATTGTCATACTATTCTGATTTCAATGAAATTTTGTGCCATTTTAACAATTTCCCACAATGGATTGTTGTGTCTTTACTGAAAAGCAGTAATTCTTTATTTTGTGACACTTGAAAACACTCGAAAATAATACATTTTGCTTTTGATAATCCCCCCAAAACTTGGAACTCAAACTTCCTTTAGTTATTCTTTAGCATTCACACATGGAACTGGCAAGGGGTAATCAGGGTTTTTGAGCACATCAAGACATGTCCAAAGTCCAAAGACTTGGGGTGATCTCAACGCTTCTCACCAGGAAGAAAACGGACATCACAGAAGCCCAGAGGCGTGGGACCTTCTTCCTAGGCTTGATGTACGACTCACGGACCTCAAGGTCAAAGGTTAAAGGTTAAGGTGGAAACAAAATGAGTTCAGATATGACTGTGTAATGTTGAATGTCGGGTGGTTTTGAATGTTTGAAATGGATAAATGGCGCCATACAAGTGCTGTGGATCATCATCATCATCATTTCAATCAAGGACGCAGGTTCGAAACTGAGACACATCTTTCGGATGGTGACGTTTAAGGTCGGGCCCCAGACATAATGATATGTGATTGATACACGTCTGTAAAAACCCAATTACACACACACACACATCATCATCATCATCATGTTATGTGAAGAATACAAGTTCACCAAGGATGGAGAGAACTGGTTTAAAGAAGAGAGCCATGTTCTGTTCTGGCAGTTCCATCTCCAAACATCCCAAGATTCTGAAAATAACATTCAACTTTAGCAAACAAGGAAGAGACCCACAAGAGGAGAAGTTGAAGCCGGCCGTCTAGAGGATGTTGAAGGTCCATATGACTTCAGGGACCCGTTTCACAAAGCCTTTTTTCAATGACAAATGACAAAAATCAGTGACAAATCTGCTGATGACCAATCAGAAGCAAGGATTTCAGTAGCTTATAACAAAAACTGTCATTTGTCACTGGTGACAAGTTATGTGAAACGCCACCGTTCTCCATCTCAGCAAGGTCGTCTTGACCAAGGACCATCAGGACTATTGACTAGACATTGTAAAGGAATTGAATGGTTAGATGTTGATCCAACTGGTATATTCTTCAAGATGTAAGCCTCCCTTTACACTCCTACTGCCTTGAAACACAAATCATAAACTGTAAGGGAAACAACTGCAGGATAACTGGAAGAAATGCCCACAAAATAAAAACACATTCAGGTATTTTGAAACAAAGCAAAGTAAAGAAAAACTTAATTGTATAATTTTTGTCCATCATATGCATTTGAAAAACTTGAATGCAAAACAGTAGCCTCATATACTTTCGATTATTCTGATTATTTTCACAATATTTGCTAATAAACTTCTGATACTATCTTAGTTTCTTTCTTATAACTGAGAATCATTTGACACAATTAGGAATGCACTTCAATTTACATCAAATCAATGAATGGCCTTTGTTTTTTGCATAAAAACTCTTCAGATACACATCCAAACAGCTCATAAAAATATATGAACATATAACCCCATACATAATTGTTTTGGTTTCCTTGAACAAATGTATTTTGGGATGAGCTTGGGCACAAATATCTTTGGTAACCCCTCAAAATAAAATTGCAAATGCTTATATCACTTCATTGAGAACGACCCAATAATTTGTTTTTTTTTTGTTAATATGTCTTTGTGCACACGTCTCCGGGACTGTCCAAATGTTATTTACATTCCAGTTTGTGACTGGCACAGTATATTGTCCAATTAAGAATTAGGAATGTGCGTCCAGTTTCCAGATTTCATAACTAGTCCCACGTTTCAATGCTTTTATTAGGGAGTGGTGTTTCCATCACCTCCTTGAGGTCTGTTCCCAAAACACATTTAAGGCATTGTCAAGGATTTAAACACATGGTTTGAATGACTTACGTTGGTGATGGGACTGACTCTCCTGTCTGGGGCCTTGGCCTCGAACTCAGGACGAATGTTCTCCTAAAAGTGTCAAGAAAGAGAAAATGAGAGATCATTCATGTCATTATTACATATGTATTTGGCGACGCTCTGTCTAGTCAATTTGAAATTTCAATTTTTTTATGTTTCCAACAAAATATTACAATCAATTATAATCATATTGGAAGTGAATGCTAAGTCACTATGAACATGACTATTATCTTGCCATTAATTTGAAATGGGTCTTAAGACTGCAAAACAAAGGTCATGGGGGCATAATTCATAAAACTTAATCATTCCATGAGTAAATTTTCGAGAGAAATTGGGAAATGAGGAATACAAACATGTAATAGTATATTTGTAAAGCGCTTAGAGACATTTGTATTAAGCGCTATATAAAAATTAAATATTATTATTATTATTATTATTATTATTATTATTAATAAGAAGAACTTGAAAAAAGAGAGATGGTGTTCAAAGATCGCTAAAAGAACTTAGCTACAATTAAGACCAAGGAAACTATCTAATGCATTTACATAATCTAGAAGTATTTGGGGGAGAAATTAAGAAATACAGTCAACTTGTCTAAAGCGACCGCCCAAGGGAAACACAAAAAGTGGTCTTTATAGACAGGTTCCTTTTAATAGTACATGTTTCAATGAGAAACCATTTTCAAGGGAAACAAAAAATGTGGTCCTTGTAGACAGGTGGTCTTTAATAATAATAATAATAATATGTCTTGTTTACACAGGGTAGCCTCATCAGTATTTATACTGTTCTCCCTGAGGGCCCTGCAATCATATTTGTCTTTGTAGTCAGGTGGTCACTAAAGCAGGTTTGACTGTATATCAAACCTAAGAATAAATGACGAGGATAAAAGGAGCCGAAATGAGGAAAGATGAAAGCATACCTCCTGTTCTTCAAAGCCAAACAAGTCCCAGTCGTAGTCAATCGTGTTCTGCCTTCTTTTCCAGAATTCGCAGAACATGGTGGCTAGAAAAAAAAAGGAAGAAATAGATTTAAACAATATTCCTTATTAAACAGAGAACAACAAATCGTTTTTTAATTGCATAATTAATGAGATGAATCATGACTTACACCCCCCCCCCCCCCATGTTATAGCATTACAGTGTTAGGGTATTACAGAGCACAGATTTCACTATTCTTGTGGAACTCTCCTTTTCTATGCTAATCAACAACAATAGCACAACAAATTTAACAGTGTGGCTAGACTAATGTTTTTAAAACACTAGAACAAAAAAAATTGCCATTTTTGAAAAATGCCAATTATTCAATAGTTACATTGTTATTTTGATGTAATCACTGGATACAGACTTTCACATGAGGCCCGACCTACTTGTCTCGTCTCCAAATACTTTCATTCATGTACATGTTTGTATTTTTTTTCATCAGCTCTTGTTCTACTTGTGTTCTCCGCTTATGTTATTCTCATGTTATATATTGATATCACTTTGTAACTTTTATATGTGTGTTTACCTTTGTATATTTCTAAAGAAAGTATTGAATAAATAAAATTGTACTTGAACTCAAAGCCCGACTACACTAGTTTGGCCATGGGGAATGAGACCTCCCTGCAAGGTCACTGGAAGGTGGTTATCTCATCAGCTCTCAATTAACATAAGAAAAAGAGGATCATGAGGGGACCAACAGGCACCCATTAGGCATGGTTTGCTATATAGAGGGCGCAAGTAGCTATAAGAAGTGCGGTGGGGATTTAATGGAAAATAAAATGTGAAGGGACTTACCCCAGAGGGACATGAAGCAGGCAAAGAAGACGGTCGCTTCATTATCAAACAGGTACGTCAACTGTGAAGAGTAATAATGGTAATATATATTTATATGGCTCTGAATCCACCTGAAATCAAATTCTCAAGGCACACTTTTGAAACAAAAATAGAGATCACTTAAACGCATCTGAAGAAGGAGGAGAAGAAAAAGAAGAAGAGGAAGAGGAAGAGGAAGAGGAAGAGGAAGAGGAAGAGGGAGAGGGAGAGGGAGAGGGAGAGGGAGAGGGAGAGGGAGAGGGAGAGGGAGAGGGAGAGGGAGAGGGAGAGGGAGAGGGAGAGGAAGAGGAAGAGGAAGAGGAAGAGGAAGAGGAAGAGGAAGAGGAAGAGGAAGAGGAAGAGGAAGAGGAAGAGGAAGAAGAAGAAGAAGAGGAAGAGGAAGAGAAAGAAAAGGAAGAAGAAGAGGAAGAGAAAAAAAAGGAAGAAGAAGAAGAAGAAGAAGAAGAAGAGGAAGAGGAAGAGAAATTAAAGGAAGAAGATGAAGAAGAAGAAGAAGAAGAAGAAAAAGATGAAGAAGAAAAAGAAGAAGAAAAAGAAGAAGAGGAGGAAGAAAAAGAAGAAGAGGAAGAAGAAGATTTGAGGGAAACAAGGGTCTCACCTTCGAGTAGAAACAACTGTCAGATAGCGTCCAGTACGGGCATCGTCGGTCACACAGAGGACACATGATGATATCGGTTCCGTCGCAGATCTCTTGCCTAAAAACAATAAAATCAAAACAAAATTGATTAACAAAGTGCTTCTTCCTGGCGATAACATCATTGAATGCAAGTATTATCCTTGCTTTAAAGATGCTACACATAGTACACATTGTATACAAGAAAACTTCATAGAATATGGGACAGAGAGTTGTGGCATTCCATGGCCACCAACGTCTCAGAACATGGCACGAAAGGAAGAAGAAGACACATTGACTTGATAAGGAGCTTTAAGTATTCATAGAATTAGTTCACACAAGGTATTCATTTACTTTACCTGGGTGGAGAGTGGCAAATGTAGATTGCCAAAAGATGTCATAGCAGGGATTTGAACCCTACACTATGTGGTCAATAGTCCAGCAATTCAGCCATTTAGACCACATTACTTCTACAACACTACTGCATGACAAGGAAAGTGATGGAAACAGAAAAAGGACAGAGATGCACATGGTTCAAAAGAAGAAGAAGAATGAGAATTAAAAAAAAAGGAGGAGGAGAAGAAGAATGAGGAGAAGAAGGAAGAAGAAGACAAATACAATAAAGAGGAAAATAGAAGAAGGAGAAGAAGAAGGAGGAGATGAAAGAGAAGAAAAAGAAGAAGAAGAAGAAGAAGAAAAAGAAGAAGACAAAAAAGAGGGAGAAGAAGAAGAAGCAGAAGGAAGAGGAGGTGAAAGAGAAGAAAAAGAAAAAGAAAAAGAAGAAAAAGAAAAAGAAGAAGAAGAAGAAGATGAAAAAGAAAAGAATCCTCCCCTCCCCCCCCCCCCAACAAAAAAAAAAAGCAGGATAAGTAAGTAAAACAAATCAAGTTTTTAACTTACACAACCACACTGCTGGGTAGAGAGATACATCCATAGAGAAAGACAATCAGACCTACAAAGCCTGCCCATGTCAGCATCTCAGTGTAGAATCCCAGCCAACAGAAGTAGATACCAATCTTCTCACCAAAGTAGCGCCTGTGAACAGAAGCAGATAGAATAGTTATACAGTGAAACCTGTCTTTAAAGACCACCCAAGAGAGACAAGAATAGTGGTCTTTATAGGCAGGTGGTCTTTATGTACAGGTTCCTTTAGTACATGTTTCAATGATAAACCATTTTCAAAGGAAACAAAAAACGTGGTCTCTGTATACAGGTGTTCTTTCTATGGTGGTCACTAAAGCAGGAATATATATATAGCAGGTATGAATAAGAAGTACGGTAGATAAAAGTGCCTGATATATACGTGAATAAAATATATAGACAGTGATTTTTCAACTGGCTGTAAGAATCAGCTTTCTTCTTCAAATAGCAAATCCTGTTCTTGATTTGATTAACTACCATATTCAGATAATGATTGAAAGATAGAAAAATATGATTGAGCAACTTATGCTATGTGAAAAATTTCAGACACTTGAAAGGGATGAAAGTTGTCTACCACATTAGAATATCATGATCAATATCGTGAATAACATGATTCCAACATACTGTTTCATTTCAATTGCTAATGCTAGTCAGGTATCCATCTTTGACTATAGACTAACACAAAATCATGTACCTAACCCTAAACCTAATAAAAAACTACAACCGAAGACTTACATTAACACTACATCTTGAGATATAAATAAAATTGAAAGCAAACATCAGGGCCCCATTTCACCAAACTTGTCATCAGTGACAATTGATAGTTTCTGTTATAAGCTACTGAAATCCTTGCTCCTGATTGGATATCAGCGGATTTGTCACTGAATTTTGTCATTTGTCATTGAAAAAAGGCTTTGTGAAACCAATAAGTGGCAGCGGTGGGATAGTCTATAATAATAATACGCTAAGGCTCCGCGGGGGGGCATGACGTCTCCGCCAGCCTTTGTATTCTATTGTTTTTTAATGAGATCGCCGACCCAAGTTGGTGCGGCTATCTCCTCCTGAACCCTGCCCTCGGGGTACCCGTGCCCGGTGCCATCGTCCGCGGGAGAGTCTACTCTGTGGAATTGGCTATACTCCGCCCGAGGTCCTCCTCCGTGTCGACGTCCAGGGCGAAAACAGACGCGAAATGCATAATGCAAGATATGCGTGACGACAGAGATACCTAATGGATATTCCACATGACATCCGTAGACACACGACCGATGACTATCCACTCACATTAAGTTGCGTATTAAATGCACGATGGACAGGGTCGGGATTACCCGAGTAAAGCATCTTTCTATAGGATATCCTTTGTAGTAGCGCTGCACAAGCAACAGATCGAGATACACACGAAGCTTCCCGTCCACGTCCAAACTTAGAGACCTATTTCCATCATTATTGCCGCGATTTTTATATAGTTTTCGTGAATGGAGGTATGAAATCAAAGCTTATTTTGTGATTATGACGGTTAATGTATACTACATTTTGATTATCACTTTCTAAAGGAAAGTTTTCACAAGAAAACCATTGGACTGACAGTTGCAGTCGCAAGCTGCCTTCAGTCCTCACACACAGTACACACAGTGCAGTGTAACACCGGCACCGCGCACCGCAGGCTTCCGAGGCCTGCGGCGTCTGTGTTCGAGCTTCATGGAGTTACGCTGGAGTGTGTGCGAGTTCGATCAGCTGAGCTGAGCTCGAGTCGAAGAGATTTGACACTTTGAAATTGTTATCTGTAATTGGTTTGCATCACGATTTCAATATAGTTTCGTGAATAGATTTACGAAACCTGAGCTAAGAATTAGTAAAAGTAGATCTATTACTAATGTCTACGTTTTTAAACGACTGTCTGATTTTTCTTGTGAAAATTTTACTTTGAAAAATGATTATCGAAATTCATGGTCAGAAATAATCACAATCTAGATCTATTAATTATGTTACAGTTCTTGCATCAAAGCAATGCATGAAAACTTAGTTATTGAACTAGAAAAATGTTGTTTTTTCAAATAGGCAATTAGACCTATGAAGTATTAAGCCTGAAACCTTCGCCTACTAAACAAATCTCAACAAAGTGTAGGCCTATCCTTTTATGAATTAATGAAAAAGTAGCCCCAGAAAAAAGAGCCCCCGAAAGTTGAAAAAGTAGCCCCCGAAAATTTCCCAAAAATTTGAAATGGAGCCCCCGAAATGAAAAAACTCAATTTTTTGCCTGCGCCCCCCCCTCTAGAATCCCGCGGATTTCCGCGGGTCCTGAGTTGAGTGTATATATAATATAGGCGTGGGGTCCACGGGTTTCAAGGGGCCATAAACCCCCAAAAGCTCGGGGGTTACGTTCTTCAAAGTTGGGGGGGGGGGGGAGAGATCAGATCACGGCGAGTTGAGTGTATATACAATATAGGTGTGGGGTCCACGGGTTTCAAGGGGCCATAAACCCCCGAAAGCTTGGGGGGTTTAGGCGTTTAATTAGGGTCAGATGAGCATATTTTTAATACTTTATTTGTGACACTTGCGGGTCACTAATTGGCGTGGGGTCAATACGTAGAGTTGCGTAGTGTTGCGTACCAACTACGCTGGCCTACATTACTATATGCTGAGGGACGGAAAGAGGTACGCAAGATGAACGAAAACAATTCAACATGTTTAATTTTTTTCGCGTAGTTTCGGCGTAGAAACTTGACGCAGAAAGTACGCCTTTTTACGCAACACTACGCTACTTGACTACGCAACAGTACGCTACCCTACGCCAGATCGTCAAAGCAGTAAAAGCTTTCTACACAGTAAGCAACCATAAGCAAACCTGTACGCCAGCCTACGCATAACCTACGCAGGGACTATTTTCCCATTAATACGCAGCCTAATTTCTGCGTAGTCGGTATGCCACACTACGGAACTCTACGCAGTTCCAGTGGCTTATAGAATAACTACAGGTTTATATAAGGCCAAATTAAAAAAAAAACATGTTTAGCGTCCTGTTTTTTCAAAAAATGGGAAGGAGGAGGCCCTTTTTTTTTTTTTTTCTTTCAAAATGGCCTCTCCGTACATTTTCCCTGACACTCTGGCTATTTTTCAAGATGGCGGCCGACAATTTTTTTTTTTCTTTTTTAAAATCAGAAATACATTTTAGCAGTGCTTTTCATGTTTTTTTTCTTTCAAAAAATAAAAAAATAAAAATTTAAAAAAAATTAAAAAATAAATAAAAATAAGAGGCGGCCCCCAAAAAAGGAAGCAGGCGGGGACGCTGTTTTTTTTTCTTTCAAAAAAAAAAAAAAAAAATTAAAAAAAATAGGAGGCGGCCCCCAAAAAGGAAGCAGGCGGGGACGCTGTTTTTTTTTTTTCTTTCAAAAAAAAAAAAAAAAAAAAATTCAAAAAAAATTCAAAAAAATTTCAAAAAAAAAAAAATAGGAGGCGGCCCCCAAAAAGGAAGCGGGCGGGGACGCTAAACATGTATATTTTTATAATGGCCTGAATGGCAAATAAAGTTCTTGGTGGTTTTAATTTAGGCAGTCTCTATATATCTATTTACACCCCCCGCCCCCCTCTAGAATCCCGCGGATTTCCGCGGGTCCTGCTAGTCTATAATAATAATACGCTAAGGCTCCGCGGGGGGCGCGACGTCTCGGCGAGCCTTTGTATTCTATTGTTTTTTAATGAGATCGCCGACCGAAGTTGGTGCGGCTATCTCCTCCCGAACCCTCCCCTCGGGGTACCCGTGCCCTGTGCCATCGTCCGCGGGAGAGTCTACTCTGTGGAATTGGCTATACTCCGCCCGAGGTCCTCCTCCGTGTCGACGTCCAGGGCGAAAACAGACGCGATATGCATAATGCAGGATATGCGTGACGACAGAGATACCTCATGGATATTCAACATTGCATCCGTAGACACACGACCGACGACTATCCACTCACATTAAGTTGCGTATTAAATGCACGACGCACAGGGTCGGGCTTACCCGAGTAAAGCATCTTTCTATAGGATATCCTTTGTATAGTAGCTGCACAAGCCACAGAGATACACACGAAGCTTCCCGTCCACGTCTAAACTTAGGGACCTATTTCCATCATTATTGCCGCGATTTTTATATAGTTTTCATGAATGGAGGTATGAAATGAAAGCTTATTTTGTGATTATTACGGCCATGCTACTAAATTTTGATTATCATTTTCTAAAGGAAAGTTTTCACAAGAAAACCATTGGACTGACAATTCAGTCGCAAGCTGCCTTCAGTCAGTGCAGTGCTGCTGTGCAGTGTGTGTGAGCTGCAGTTAACTCCAGCAAGCTCCAACACCGGCTCCGCGCACCGCAGGCGTCCGAGGCCTGCGGCGCCGGTGTTCGAGCTTTCTGGAGTTACACTGTGTGTGTGTGTGTGAGTTCAGCTGAGCTGAGCTCGAGTCGAAGAGATTTGACACTTTGAAATTGTTATCTGTTGGTTTGCATCATTATTGCCGCGATTTCAATATAGTTTCGTGAATAGATTTACGAAACCTGATCTTAGAATTAGTAAAAGTATTACTAATGTCTACGTTTTTAAACGACTGTCTGATTTTCTTGTGAAAATTTTACTTTGAAAAATGATTATCGAAATTCATGGTCAGAAATAATCACAATCTAGGGTCTATTAATTATGTTACAGTTCTTGCATCAAATCAATGCATGAAAACTTAGTTATTGAACTAGAAAAATGTTGTTTTTTTTTTAAATAGGCAATTAGACCTATGAGTATATGAAGTATTAAGCCTGAAACCTTCGCCTACTAAACAAATCTCAACAAAGTGTGGGCCTATCCTTTTATGAATTAATGAAAAAGTAGCCCCAGAAAAAAGAGCCCCCGAAAGTTGAAAAAGTAGCCCCCGAAAATTTCCCAAAAATTTGAAATGGAGCCCCCGAAATGAAAAAACTTAATTTTTTGCCTGCGCCCCCCCCCCCTCTAGAATTCCGCGGATTTCCGCGGGTCCTGAGTTGAGAGTATATATAATATAGGCGTGGGGTCCACGGGTTTCAAGGGGCCATAAACCCCCAAAAGCTCGGGGGTTACGTTCTTCAAAGTTGGGGGGGGGAGGGGAGATCAGATCACGGCGAGTTGAGTGTATATACAATATAGGCGTGGGGTCCACGGGTTTCAAGGGGCCATAAACCCCTGAAAGCTTGGGGAGTTTAGGCGTTTAATTAGGGTCAGATGAGCATATTTTTAATACTTTATTTGTGACACTTGCGGGTCACTAATTGGCGTGGGGTCACTACGTAGAGTTGCGTAGTGTTGCGTACCAACTACGCTGGCCTACATTACTATATGCTGAGGGACGGAAAGAGGTACGCAAGATGAACGAAAACAATTCAACATGTTTAATTTTTTTCGCGTAGTTTCGGCGTAGAAACTTGACGCAGAAAGTACGCCTTTTTACGCAACACTACGCTACTTGACTACGCAACAGTACGCTACCCTACGCCAGATCGTCAAAGCAGTAAAAGCTTTCTACACAGTAAGGAACCATAAGCAAACCTGTACGCCAGCCTACGCATAACCTACGCAGGGACTATTTTCCCATTAATACGCAGCCTAATTTCTGCGTAGTCGGTACGCCACACTACGGAACTCTACGCAGTTCCAGTGGCTTATAGAATAACTACAGGTACAGTTGGATCGTTTTTTTTTTTTATATAAGGCCAAATTAAAAAAAAAACATGTTTAGCGTCCTGTTTTTTCGAAAAATGGGAAGGAGGAGGCCCTTTTTTTTTTTTTTTTTTTTTTCAAAATGGCCGCTCCGTACATTTTCCCTGACACTCTGGCTATTTTTCAAGATGGCGGCCGACAATTTTTTTTTTTCTTTTTTAAAATCAGAAATACATTTTAGCAGTGCTTTTCATGTTTTTTTTCTTTCAAAAAATAAAAAAATAAAAATGAAAAAAAATTTTTTTTAAAAATATAATAGGAGGCGGCCCCCCAAAAGGAAGCAGGCGGGGACGCTGTTTTTTTTTCTTTCAAAAAAAAAAAAAAAGAAAAAAAAAAATATTAAACAATTCCAAAAAAAATTTAAATTTTTTTAAAAAAAATAAAAAAATAAAAAAAAAATAAAAAAAAATAGGAGGCGGCCCCCAAAAAGGAAGCAGGCGGGGACGCTGTTTTTTTTTCTTTCAAAAAAAAAAACAAAAATTCAAAAAAAATTCAAAAAAATTTCTAAAAAAAAAATAGGAGGCGGCCCCCAAAAAGGAAGCGGGCGGGGACGCTAAACATGTATATTTTTATAATGGCCTGAATGGCAAATAAATTTCTTGGTGGTTTTAATTTTGGCAGTCTCTATATGTCTTTTTACACCCCCCGCCCCCCTCTAGAATCCCGCGGATTTCCGCGGGTCCTGCTAGTTCATAAATATTACATCAGGACCCTTTTTCACAAAACTTGTCATCAATGACAAATGACAGTTTTTGTTATAAGCTACTGAAATCCTTGCTTCTGATTGGATATCAGCGGATTTGTCACTGATTTTTGTCATTTGTCGTTGAAAAAAGGCTTTGTGAAACCAATGGGTGGCAGCGGTGGGATAGTTCATAAATATTACGTCAGGACCCTTTTTCACAAAACTTGTCATCAGTGACAAATGACAGTTTAGCTACTGAAATCCTTGCTTCTGATTGGATATCAGCGGATTTGTCACTAATCTTTGTCATTTGTCATTGAAAAAAGGCTTTGTGAAACCAATGGGTGGCAGCGGTGGGATAGTTCATGAATATTACAAATGAACTTATGAAACGGTCCCCAGACAACCAAAGAAGACATCAAGTGCTGTGGATCATCATCATCATCATCAACTCTACATCTTTAGATAAATAAATTTGAAAGCAAACATCAGACGACCAAAGAAGGCATTAGTTTTATCCTCACCTGATCAGATCGAGGGGTTGCTTCTTGTACCATCTTCCTGGCCTTGCCCACTCTTCGTACAGCAGCTACAGAATTCAAGAGAACGGGAAAACAATGTCAAAACAATCTAGCATTATCATGTAGAGGTGTCGTGGTCCAGTGGATATGTCACTAGACTGTGGATTAAAGAGGTTCATGGTTCGAGTCCAACTGCAGCACTAATGTCCTTTGGCAAGATATTAATCATAAGTACAAGTTCACCCTCATTCCATTGGAATTTGTGTTAAACTTTATATACATTTTTCAATGGGATGTCGGTGAACTTGTTCTTATGACTGTCTCGTGAAACGCTGCCCTGGCCTCTCACACTGAGCTGTTGCTGTATTACAACATACACTGTACATGTACATTCCTGTACGTACCATGGTTATGTCATGCATAAATACAGTCCATAACTCACCAACTCTTAGATACAAATGCAGTTAGAGTAATTAATCCTGTTACAAAAAGTTATTACTTTACAATGGAACCTGGTAGCAACAATTATTCCCAAATGGGATTCCCTCTACATACAGTTATTAACTAAATTATTCATACCCCTTGTAAATTTGACGTTTTCCTGTTGTTTTTTTATATCTAAAAAATGAACGGTGGACTGTTTAAATTAGGGCTTTTCTTGAATACTTTGATATGTAACCTTTAATATGTCACATTCTTAAGAAACATAAATAAGGAAAATCAATTTTTCACATACTTTAAATAAATGACAAAACTTGGTAAGGGTATGAATAATTAGTTGTTAACTGTATTCAGTATGTGCCTTACAAACTATGAACATGACGGACAAAGAAAGCGGACAAAATATACAGTTCCTCATTCTACCCTCAACAATTGCTGTGGTAGACAAAGGAACATCCCTTCACTGCTATTATGTAAACATGTGTAGAACAGGTGAATATGCATGTGACATCTGTTCTACACATTTTTAAATAATAGCAGTGAAGGGATGTTCCTTTGTCTACCACAGCATTTGTTGAGGGTAGAATGAGGAACTGTATATTGTGTCCGCTTTCTGTGTCCGTCATGTTCATAGTGACAGTAAAGCACAATTTGATTTCTAAAAGAAAGTTGTCAAGTTTCATATATTCAGTCGTGACATCAAGCAGTCTTCATGTACTAGCCCTGTGTCTCTTCAAAAGGGAGCAGAAAGTGAACCAACTTTTGTATGCAGGGTTGAACAGGAAACAGAGCAAATGGTCCTGTTACACAATATGATGGACTAGATTTTCTTGCGAAAATACGACCATGTCCCTAAATGTAGAAGCCAGTGCAGCGGCTTGTGTAAAGTTGAAAACCAATACTCTGAAATTTCTATTCTCATCGATGAAGGAAGATTATTCCATAGCTTTTCCCTGGTACATACTTTTAAGTGTTGACTACCATTTTGGGGTAAAGTTTTTTTCTCCACGAAAATGGTATCTCATGTACGCATAGTTCACTTTAAAAGTACACCCCTTGGCACTTTTCTTCCGAATACTGCGCCCTATCTAAAGATCATTCACGGGAAGTTGCCATTACTCGGGGGGAAAACTTTCTGAAAAGGTTAAATATATACTTTGCAAGTATCTAAGGTAGACTCCATGATTCAGAGGGCCAGTCTTATAAGGTATGACAGAAAGATGGATATTCATGGACCAACTTCTACTATTACTGTATATAGTGTGGTACGGTATGTCACTGAAACAGCTCCCGTAGGACTTGTGTGCCAATTTTATTTTTTGTGTGTGCATTTTTGGATTCATTGGGGTCCAAGCTATCAGAAAATGATGAGGTTCAAATTTTCCTGAAGACACCAAATTGCCCTATTGCCCTTTATATAAGTCATTTTGGCGCCCAATATGGACCCCCAGGAAATGAAGGAGGGGTCTGAAAATTTGGGAAAAAAAAAAAAAAAAATTGGCACAAAAAATCCTATGGGATTACATACCATACCGCACTAATAGTACCGGTAACTCATTCGGATATGAGTGCAATTTTTACAGCCATTGACATGCTATCAGGGTATGAGGACTGCATCCAGAAGCGCATAGAACATGCAGGAGAGCTCAGAAAATGGTAGTTTTATCCATTCCAAAGAGACAGCTGTAAGAATGCTGATATTGGAAATAAATCTTTGTATTTGGGTGGGCTATACACCTGTACATGGTTCCCCAGTGTATCAAAAGTGTATATATATAATATCATCATGAGCCCCATTTTTTTCTCTTTTTGTAACATTTAATACAGAGGAAAGAGTTCATGCTAAATGCATTATTTATATCTGAAATTCCATCATTGTAGATGTTTTGCATGCTAACATAATCAATGTATTCAACTACTGTGACTACTACAATGACTATTTCTACTACTACTGCTGCTACTGCTACTACTACTATTTCTACTACTACTACTTCTACTACTTCTACTACTACGTTTACTACTACTTATATTACTACTACTACTTCAACTACTGCTACTACTACTACTACTACTAATACCACTTCCACTACTACTACATCTACTATCACATGCAATATGACTACTTCTGTCATAAATGTAGAATCCAATAACTGCTGTTGATACATAGAAATAGTGAAAAATATTACTGCAGTATTGATACTTGTACATGCAGTCCCATTGATCTTTATTTTCATTACAAGATACAATAATGAAAATTGGACATGAATAAGTATGGAGTCACATAATTGACTGCTGTGGTATGTACATGTACATCAATTTACAAATGTAATGTAGGTAGTTAGTTTCTACATGTAGGTGTACATGTATGTAGAATGTCAATGAACAATGTCAGATCAAGTTTGGGTGAATAAAGAACATGAATATGATCTCTTTCAGTGTGTTACGGCCAATATGAATTGAATGGTCTGGTGTTAAACCTAATAGAGCTATAAATCATTATCTTTTACGACTAAAAGTACATTACATCCTTTGGTTCCAACAAACCTAGTTGTGGTATGTACATTCGTGTGCATGTACATTCGTGTGCATGTGTTGGTAATTAATTTCTAGGTGTAAGAGTGAAAGTACCGCCTCGAATCAAAGAGACTAGGTACAATGAACATTAAAATGATCCATTCCAGGATGTAACGTTAAATGCCAGATGGATGGTCTGTTGTTTAACACAATATAACAAAACAAAAAACATTATCTTTTGAGACTGAAAGTACATTACATCCTTTGACCTAGCTGCATGCAGACAGGAAATCCTATTCCTTCTCAAATCAAGGACTTATATTATTGAGGGGTCAGTGACACAAAGACGTAACTCCAATTTGACCATTTTGAGAAAAAGTGGTTTAAGTGTCACTGAGCACTTGGGCCTAATTAAAAAGTTAAGTCTATGTTTCACTAGCCATTGACATCAATGGGGTGTTGGGTGGAGTTAAGTCTTTGTGTTTCCTGGAAAGCCCACATTTTTCTGAACATTTTGATATCAATATTCATTTTGGCAAAATATGGAGTTACCTCTTTTTGTCACTGAACCCTCGATATGTTAAGCCTTTAAGTACTTCCAATCTGAAAAATCTCACCACACTCTCTCTTTATTTACACATATTTCAGCTGGTTAAGGGGAAAAAAACAGTTGGCTTAATACTATGTCTAAATCAAAATCTCCTTTATAAAATTACCCTTTACATATACAAAATAAAAATCACATCTCATAGTTGCTAAAAACACAGGTTGGTGGAATAGGGTCCTTTTACCTTAAAACTCTACTAAACGTCTGAATCTTTCTTTGCCTAGTGCTTTGCACGTACATCAGTTGCAACCGATACAGTCGTCAAACTTCGCAGGAAATTATTGACTTACCGTACATATAGTGCATCACATAATGAATTACAAGTTTTCATCTGAAAATAATTTCTATGGATGAGACACTAAGGCATTCCAATTCCCAGATAAAACTTTAATCACACTACACGATGATGTACCTGACACCCAAATCAAATTCATTCATAGTTTACAAATGTCCCCCAACCAAACTTAATCCTGTGAAAGAATATATGTAGGTTAACTATCACAGGTGTCATATTAATTGCATGCAATAGTTGGAATTAGAAATCAAAATCAAAATAATAAAATGAAATGGAAGATAAATATCATAATTTCCCACCTTTTCTCCCCACTTTAATAGGTAGATGAACCTAAATTTTGTACTTGACTTATGATGAACTTAAGGGTTGTGTATCAAGTTGTTATCAATTTATTACCTTTTTGTCAAATTTGTGGCAAAAATAGTAATAGAGATGAAATCAGTCACAAAAGATTTTACTTTATGAAATTACTAAATACATGTATCTATTTTTTAACTGTAGACCTTCATTTTATTTGTGGCTATTAAATAAGTATGACTATGACTATGAAATGGAATGAAATGCCTTGGCAAAATAGATGTTCCTCTTTTAACTTTTGTTTTGAATAACCTTGTTTCTGAAAATAAAAGGGAAGGACAAATATCTGAACCCAACATACGTGTACATGTATGTCCTACATATATACCTTACCCAACTTAATAAAAAGTACATCACTTGGAACAATAAATGAGTGAGATATTTTGAACTTAAATGGTCGTTAAATGAAAGTTAAAAAGAGAAATCATAATGAATCAGAGTTGACTGAGTCAGTTGAGTTTTGAGGTGTAGATAATTAAACCATGAGCATGTCGATCCACTGGCATTAATCCGTCCGCATGCAAAGGTCAAAGGTCGCCAAATACTTACATTTCTAAAATTGGGTCGTGCCCAAGCTGGAAGCTGCTCATTCGCATAATTTATGCAAGTATGAATTTGAGCCACAAAAACAAATTATTCATCACATTCAGAACTAGACATTATATGATGAAGGTACAATGTACTCTAAACAAAAAAAAGTGAAGAAAGTACAATAGTATGAGGGCCTCTTTTTGATGCACAGGGAAAAAAAAGGTGCATACATGTACATGTATATGTGTGTAGTTTACATGTACGCCTTGAGTGAAACACTTTCACATCGTGAAAAAGCAAAGAAAAAGCAAAAAAGAAAATATAATTACATTTTTCGGGCAGGGTTTGCTGCATACAGGGCAGGGGTAAAATTTATTACCAAATATTTAAATCTGTATCATGCACTGATTGTTTTTTTGCTCATTTTGGGGTTGATTCAAAGGTAAAGCATACTTGCTGTACATATATCTCTATAGCTCTTCTTTGACAGAGGGTATATCATCTTTTCGAAGAAGAGCTAGAAATCTGAAGGATATTTTCTCCAGATATTTGAACGGCATGAAACAGTTTGGAGAGGGATATCCGAACCATTTCATTAAACAATCTCAAGTAATCCTTGAAAATATGACACAGCCTTCAAAAGCAAGATTTATTTTTGTTGGGGTGGATATTGGAGTAACTACCTGTGACAACTAAAAAAAATCAGACTAAAATAATGTGAAAAGGAAATGAGTCAAATCCCAAAATTGCATAAGCTAACCACAAGAGTATTGCAACATATGGAGCAAGATGAAACCAATTTGTTGTACAAACAAGTTCTCGTGGCTATGTGACATTGAAATTTCCCAGTACTTTTTGAAAACATGAAGTACAAATCAGCTACTACAGTAGCCATTAGATTTATCCAGTTATGAGGGCGAAACATCTATTTTTCACGGCTGTTTGGAAAAGGGGCTACACAAAAAAGGGAGGAGGGGGGGGGGGGGGTTGATGCTATCTTAATGGCGTAATTTTTATCCTGCTGCATACTTAGTCTAATATAGATCAAACTGAATTTCAAGGAAAATGCAGGGAAAAATCACACCAAACCAAAATAATAAGATAAAAAAATAATTTCTATAATTGCATATTTGTCATTCTGTTTATCTTTAAGGGGTGGGATTGGAGTTGATTTCTAAAACTCTAAATGAATGCATTCAAATAAAAATATAACAAGGCAGTATGGAGATCACAGGAACGCAACACTTCGCTTTTCTTTTTTCAACTTATAGGGAGGGTATCATTCTGACAAATCTATCTAATACAATCAAATGAAAATGTGGCAATGCAGTATGGGCAGATGACATAAGGACAAACCCAACCAGGGGAGTGTTTCACAAAGTCTAAGATCAACTTAAGTTGGACTTGAACTATGGCAGACCATTCATGCAACAGGTTGTTTTCACCATTCATGGCATTGGTTTCTCGGAAATTCTCTGTAGAATTGTGACGTCCCTTGAGAGACCAATGGTGAGAGCAACCAGAGGCATGAATGGCCTGCCATAGTTCAAGTCCAACTTATAAGTCGATCTTAGTCTTTGTGAAACACCCTCCTGGGTTCCTAAATGGTCAGGCTGATGATTGTGGTACTTACATGTCTATCGTTCTGAGGGCCATGGGTCAGAAGGGAGTGCTTGCTCTTGTAATCTCCCTCGTGAAGTGGGTAGGCAGCGAAGTAGGATCCGTTAGCGATCAGATGATCGATTCCTAGAAACATGGAAAAGAAAGGGACAAGATTGTGGTTTAGAAGCGATGAGAGATTCTAAATGTAGAATTTTCCTAAATTCCTGATTTAAAACAAAAAAGAAAAAACATTTGAAGATTTGAAGCAATGATATAATAATCATATCCCTCATGGAGTGGGTAAGCAGTGTAGTAGATGCTTTTATGTGATCTCATTTTGGTTTTTATTTCACAGGTGCACCTGAAGTATTTGATTTCAAGCGAATTTAGCGTCTTCCAAATCATACATTATTATTATTATTACATTATACCATTTAAGAAGACAGCAAAGTGTCCGTCCATGTTTACTATTCACCATGTAATGATGTTTTCATGTATATGTATGTCTTTATATGTATTTTAATTTTATGCAGGGCCCCCTATATAACAGTATTTTAACTACTGATGGGGCTACCCCGTTGAAATAAAAATAAAATAAATAAAATGCTTACCAAACTTGGCTGGATCATTTGCATCGTAACGCATCCTCTCTAAGATCTCGTACACCTGGAAATTATCATAGGAAAAAGGGGAATACGGAAGAGAATTAGACTTGAAAAAAAAATGTACGACAGCTTGAATGAGTGAAGCTCTCCATTCAGCAATCAATCGGGACAATTTTTTTTATTTTTTTTAACTGCTTGTATTCATAGTCCTCTTACAACACATTTTTAGGTCCAACAAAATATCTCCACCATAAGGCAACAGAACTTTCCCAAAGTTTTTATTGTTGTTCAATTTCTGATGTTATGATTATCTGTTTTCCACGAAAATGTTCATTTTGGTATTTTAAAAAAAGAGTAACTCCAACGTATATATTGGAACAGGAAAGTTTTGGAGTATCAAATGTCATTGGCTAGATCAGTGAACAGGTACAGGTTGTACGTCTCGTGTGCTGGGCCGAGAGCCGGAAGGGCGTTAATTCCTATACTGTATATAAAGACAGAAGGAAGACAAGACAATTGAGTAGTCTTACCACACGGTTGCGGATGTTGTTGGGGAAGAAGGTATCCTGGCTCTCCATGATGAACCTGGGGAAAGAGAGAGAGAGAAGAATGGGGAATATAGATATAATTTTGCTGTACTTTTAGTTACCATCTTTTTTTGCTCTTACTTTCAACACCTCTCCCTGCCCTTATCGTAAATAGCCCTCTTTGCTATTTTTCTCTCTTTCTTTCTTTCTTTCTTTCTTAACTTTCTTAACCTTCTTTCTTAACTTTCTTTCTTTCTTTCTTTCTCTCGCTCTTTCTTTCTCTCTCTCTCTCTCTTTCTTTCTCTCTCTCTTTCTTTCTCTCTCTCTCCCCACCTCAATTCGCTCACCCTCTCTCTATTTCTAGTTGTATCTTCTCTATCTCACCCCCCCCCCCCCCTCTCTCTCTATTCCCCTCTCTATCTCTCTCTCTCTTCCTCCCTCCCTTCTTCTTAGTTTTATCTCCTCCTCCCCCCCCCCCTCTTTCTTCTCAAGTGTGACTCACTCTCTCTCTCTCTCTCTCTCTCTCTGTATATATATAAAAATCAATCTCCGTAACCTTCTTAAGTCTCTCCTTACTACCCCTATCTCCCTACCGACAATCTGCCTAAACGTATCTCTCTCTGTATAAACATGACCTTTTAACATATCATATCTCCTTACCAGCCCCCTACAAATAGCACTCAATACACTGAACATGTATCCCTACACAATATATCTTTATGTATCCATTCCACAGGTACATATGCATAATTTTCTATTCAAATGCCCTAATTGTGTTTGCTGTGACAGCTTCTCCCGTTCTGGCAGTATTTTCTCTTCTATTCGGCTGCTTTTCTGCACAATTCCTCCTCCACCCCCCCCCCCCTCCTATTCCCCCTCCTCTTTTTATTGACCTCTTCCTCAAATCTTCCTTTTACATGTATCTCTCCCTCCATGCATCCGTGTGTGTTCCCCTCTCCCTTCCCTATCGCTTCCTTCTTTTAACCCGTTTCCTCCCCCTACTAATGTACTCACTCTAAGACTCTATCCCTGAAAAGGGGGTAGTAAGGACGTCAGATCCAAGCTTTACATAGTTTTCACTTGCCTTCATGCCCTCCCTATGTTATCCGGCCTCCTTCCTGTCCCCCCCCCCCCCCCCCTTCTCTCCTCCTCTATTTACCTCCCACTCATTCGGAGGCTCTGTCCCTAATAAAAGGGGATATGAAGACATCACTTTCTGCCTTCAGAAAAGTCCTTGCTCATTTTTACCCCCTCCCCATCTGCCCTTCCCCTCCCGATCTAACCCGACCCCCTACTCACTCGGAGGCTCTGTCCCTGATGAACGGGGCTGTGAAGACATCAGGCTCAGGCTTCACGTACTCCTCACTCTCTTGCTCTCTCTCTCTACCCCCCCCCCCCCCACTCTCAGCCCTACCCCCCCCCCCCCCCCACTCTCAGCCCAACCCCCCCCCCCCCTTCCTCCTCCATCCACCCCCTACTCACTCGGAGGCTCTGTCCCTGATGAACGGGGCTGTGAAGACATCAGGCTCAGGCTTCACGTACTCCTCACTCTCTTGCTCTCTCTCTCTACCCCCCCCCCCCCCACTCTCAGCCCAACCCCCCCCCCCCCCCCCTTCCTCCTCCATCCACCCCCTACTCACTCGGAGGCTCTGTCCCTGATGAACGGGGCTGTGAAGACATCAGGCTCAGGCTTCACGTACTCCTCACTCTCTTGCTCTCTCTCTCTCTACCCCCCCCCCCCCCACTCTCAGCCCTACCCCCCCCCCCTTCCTCCTCCATCCACCCCCTACTCACTCGGAGGCTCTGTCCCTGATGAACGGGCTGTGAAGATATCAGACTCAGGCTTCACATAGTCTTCGCTCTCTCTCCTACTCCTACTCCTACTCCCTCTCTCTCTCTCTCTCTCTCTCCTACTTCTCTCTCTCTCTCTCTCTCTCTCTCTCCCTCTCTCTACCCCCCCCCCCCTCCCCTTCCTCCTCCATCCACCCCCTACTCACTCGGAGGCTCTGTCCCTGATGAACGGGGCTGTGAAGAGTAGACATCAGACTCAGGCTCTCCCCCTCTCTCTCTCTTGCTCTGTCCGTCTTTCTCTCTCTATCTCTCTCTCTCTCTCTTGCTCTCTGTCTCTGTCTCCCTCGCCCCTCTCCCCCCCCCCCCCCCCTCCCCCTCTATCCACCCACCCCCTACTCACTCAGAGGCTCTGTCCCTGATGAACGGGGCTGTGAAGACATCAGGCTCAGGCTTCACGTACTCCTCGCTCAGCTCAAAGGGAGTCCACAGCTTGTCAATGCAGTTGAATACATTAACTGGCTCCTCCATGTTGTTTTCCTATGGAAACAATCATTAATAGTATTTTTTTAAATAAAGTGTCAATTATCATTATCATTATCATTATTACTCATACCGTGCTTTTCCCATAAGGCCCAAAGGGCTTACAGTAAATGACTATAATAATAATAATATTTTGTTCTTATATAGCGTCTTCAAGACCGCAGGCCCTCTCAAAGCGCTTTACAGATATAAATTATTACCCCAGTCATCGGATTCAGGCTTACCTGCACACAATGTATGCACATTCTCCACTCCCTGGGGAGCATTCCAGCCAGGCGTAATTTCTACAAGCGTACACTTGCTTATCTACCGGTAACCACGATAACTTTCTCATCCTACCAGGTACCCATTTAACACCTGGGTGGAGAGTGGCAAATTACAAATTTACTGCAAAGCACTGTGGGTAGTCAGGGTGACATGGAAAGAAATTCAGAGCAATTTTTTTTGTCCCCCCTTATACATTTAATATTTAAGAGTCTTGGGATATCATATTTAGTCTTACTACACCTAAATGTATAGCAATTCCAAATAATATTAAAATGGCATTATCTATATATGCAGAGGCTTATTGACTGCCTGGTGTTTGGTTGCATTTATCACACAGTTTAAAGAGATTGTAAGTCAAAACTTGACTTTCTGAAATCAGCAATACCTTGGGTTAATTAAGATTGACAGGAATTTCCTCTAAATTCAGTCATCTGGTGAACGTTAATTAACCTTCATTAAAGTGAATCCATTCCATACATATCATCTGCATGCAATTTAAATTCATACTCATGATCTTTCCTTCTTTAAAATCTGATAATTTTCAAATATATATCTGAACTTGACAAAAGATAGAATCAATAGAAGATTGAGACAGACTATCCCTTTGAAATGACGCAAAAATACAGACTGGTAAAGAAGCAATACAGACTGGTAAAGAAGCAAGGCAGCTGGAAATAGCTAACTTTTCGGTTGCCCATGAGAAGGCCTTAAAGCCCCTCTCAAGTGTAGGAAGCCCTAATTTCTTCAAAAATGTTATGGTAAAATTTTATTTAAATTGTTTCATAATGTGAAGGGAAAAAAAAGAAGAGAATACATAATTTGGGTTTTCTGTTGTATGCAGAAAACCCCACTTATGTATTCTTTCATCAATATTCGTCTTCAAACACATGTGTTTTGAAATGTGTCTTTAATGACACCCTCTTTCACATTAGGATACAATTTAAGTGAAATTTTGACATCAAATTTTTGAGGCTCCAAACATTTTAGAGGGACTTTAACAGCTACATCTAGATACGTACATACTGTCAATGGCAGTATAAATAGCCTTATTGCTGGCAGTAGGAGGTATGGTCAATCTATTATGGTTGAGGTTTGTAGATTGACTGTCAGACTAGGTATGATTGTAAAAAATGGTAATGGTCAAAGAAATATCTTAAAGGTAATACAAAGTTTTGGTATGGGGTCACGAATTTGGTTCAAATGAACATATTGGAAGCATACACGATCCTACAATATTAAGTGATCGTTGTCGCGGTCAAAATCGACTCTAAAGTTATGAAATTGTAAATAATAAACACTTTATGTTGAATAGCTCCGGTAAATCTTTATATTCAATTTTTCTCGAAAGCAGAAGTGTTTTAGGGGCTAAAATTTCTGGTGTTTTTAATACATCCACAGGGGCATCCAAATATATTAAAATTGTAAAGAATCACTATCCACCCATTTTTCAAAATTTCCCAAAACTTTGTAATACCTTTAATCTAACACTGAAGCCTCATTTACATAGGACATGGTCAATCACCTTGGAAAGCCATTATATGTGTAATGAAGGGCAAAAGCTGGTAGAAAAGATACATATAGTTGTACTTAAAACAAAGGTACCTAAAGCTATTTAATCATTTTTGTTGCGTGTGTTTCCATGGTACAGAAAACTTTCATTGGTTAGTTAGTTTCTGCTTCTACCATGTGATGTACACCAGTGCCTGTATTCAATTCAATAGCTGATTTGTGTCGGTATTTCATTTACCATTCATAGCTAAGTTGATTGCTTTAGTCTAGGCTTATTGAGATGGCATCTACATGTAAGTATTTTACTTTAGTAAGCTAGAACACTTAATTATGGCTGCCATTGCAACATCACTTTAATAGCCAATCCCAAATTACATGCGATAAACTTGTCGCATTGGGTGTAAGCTGATTTAATTGCGTGTAGCTTACAATGACTGCATATATGAAAACCACATACATGTACCTGCACAAATCAGCAAGGGAGCTGTCTTAGATCTAGGGTAAAATAATTAGCCAAAAGTTGCAAATGAGTGGCTAAATATTTTACCTAAGCCAAAAGCTGAAGAAATAACCAATATTTCTGATATATGTATTGAATTAAATACTGGCCTAGGGTTGTAGATGTACGTTATACAACCAGGACACTTTGGCTAAATCCAGACCAAGCCCTAAACAATAAATAAATGAAAAATAAATTAGTTATAGGCTCTTGCATACGATTTATTATTATTACATACACATGCATACTAAAATTACTAATAATTTCCATTTAAATGATTTTTTTTTTGTTCAGTACCTCGATGGGCATCTTGATCTTGAGTTCCTCAGCATAGCGAGTCATCAGGTCCCAGGGAGCATGAACCTTGACAAAGAACGTTCGACCGTCGTGGGATTCCTGCAGGAAAAACAGCCAACCCAAGAAAAATTAGGAACAACCCTGGTTTTAATCACTTCAGCAGGGCTTACAGACATAAGCAGATTTTGCAGGGCCAATGACCCTTTATGATAACAAAAGGGAATTTAATTTTTTAAATACCAGTCATTATTTCATAAGGACATAATTGTATAATATGTAACGCCTGCTTTTATATCACTTTTTTTTAAATCACTTTCCTTTAAAAAACAGCAGCTAGAAAAGAGTACTGCTTGCTTATTGCTTGTTTACAGCCAAAAGGTTGTTAACTCTTGTGTCAAAGTATATGAGTTAACTCCCTTCTGGAACCAAACATACGATATATTCTGCCATTAAAAATAATGACCCTCCAAAATAACAGGAGGGGGGGGGGTGACTACTAAGTTATTCGCAAACTCTTTCTAAATCTTACAAGGGGTACATGTTCAATGGACTTCACAGGTTTATATACAGGTATCATTAGCAGTATTCTAAGCAGGCTATATACTGAACATAAACCAGCACAGGTATTTGTAAGAATATGCATCATTCTGTCATACATTGTACATAAATACACATACATGTAGCCTCAATCCCAAATTGAACATTCTTTCATACATATAAATATAATAACTATCCCATACAGTACTACAGCCCTGTATATGGAAAGCCATGTGAGCCAAGTGGATATAAAAAAAGATAAATGCAGAATTATATATTGTACCTCTATCATTCCCGTTCTGTATACTGTATAAAAATGATTTCATGTAATAAAATCTACCAATACATATCTATACATGTATAAATATAATAATTATCCCATACAGTACTACAGCCCTGTATATGGAAAGCCATGTGAGCCAAAAAAAAGATATATGCAAAATTATATATTGTACCTCTATCATTCCCGTTCTGTATGTATAAAAATGATTTCATGTAATAAAATCTACCAAGAATGGCATAAAAGTCTGAAATAAAGTGAAAAATTGGGAGAATAAAACTGATTTCATGTAATAAACTCTACCAAGAATAGCATAAAAGTCTGAAATAAAGTGAAAACTTAGGGAGAATAAAGCTGATTTCATGTAATAAAATCTACCAAGAATTGCATAAAATCTCAAATAAAATGAATAAACCACAATAATAACAAGTTTTGAGGAATATGATAATTAATACCCATCACTATCTATTGGATTAACATTGCATTAATATTCCATTTTACAAATATATTTGCAAAACCTTTGAAACAGCTATGATTTTATAAATTAGCACAACATTGTATAAATTTATTTTCTTTTTCTGTACAACAGCGTTCTATTAAGAGAATTGTTAATGTCAACCAGGCCTTTGTTTTATCGAATCCATTATCTTAATATTATTATTTTATGCTTAAAAAAGCATTTATTATTTTGTCTTCAATACCTGTGGGAAAAAAAATCATACAAGTGTACAAATTGATGACATTTGTAAATGTAATGTACTAGTGGTAAACGGAAGTGGCATCACTTCATATTCAAAGGGACGGTAATGCATGATCGTTATCAAAGTTGAAAATGACCCCCAATTTCACAAACCTTCGAAAATATTTACAACAAAATGCGACCCCCTTCTATGTAAAAACAGGTACAAAAATGAGCTGCAATTATTACTCTTTTTGAGGGGCCTTGTTAAGGAAACATTAACAAAACTGTCCTATTTTTGCACCCCAAAATACCTTGTTCACATGTTTGTGAGCATCTTGAAAATATGACCCCTTTTTGGTGACACTTCTTTCTCTTAAAAAGAAAGAAAAAAATCATACCATGCATATGAATATGAAGTGAAACCACCAGGAGGTTCGTCACTTTGGACTGTTCACATAATTTTATAAAAATATTAAAATTTTGGATGTTTTTATGAATAAAAATATCGTTGCTATGAGAGTTTTAAAAAATGTATATGTGAATTAAAGCTGTTAATATGTTAAAGTGTTAGTTTTCTGTTGAAATAAACACAGCAATCCTTTGATAAATATGTTGTTAGCATTGAAGCTGTAAAGTAGTTAAATTGCTATTTTTAAGGCATTTTTTTTAAAACTTAAATTAAAATATGACTTTTGCCATGAAGCACGAATTGTGTAAGATGATTACCAACCCATAGAGTCAGCATTCTTAGAAATGGTATCATTAAAAAATGACAATTTATGATACTGTGCAAGTTTGGCTTTAGCTGCTTCATAATTGCCTTAGTGTGAGTAAAGTGTGGTGTAGTGGTTCATTTCTTTGTCTTTCATAAGGAGATCAGGGGTTCAATACCACCTTGACAGAAATTGCCTGATAGAGAGCACTTATTTTGGCTGCTGTTTGTTTTGTTTTTCTATGTCTTTTTGACCCATATACTTCACCATACATAGAGAGGACTTTAATATTTGGGCTGCTGTTGTGTTTTAGTTGTTCCTTTGTCAGTTTGACCCATATACTTCACCATACATCTATACTCACAGGGTCATCTTCCTTCGGCTCCGGCCCCTGCATGCAGACGTAACCACGACAACCAATACACATCAAAGAAGGGGGCGTGGCACATGGAATGTTGAGTTAATAAAGCACACATGTTGTCAATTTTGTGTGTGTTTTAGAATGCAACGGCAATCAAGCAAAGTGGATGGAAAGAGAGATCGGGATGGGTAAGATTTTAGGAAGGGGGTAAAAATTTTGTTGGGTGGGGGGGGGGGGTAAGAAGTTGGGGAGGGGCAGAGAAGGGGTGCAGTATTGGTAGTGGTAGAGGAGATGACAAGGGTGCCACATGAGGTGAATGATGAAGATGAAAGAGGGATGGATCAAGAATGTGTAGGTTTAGAGAAATAAAGGATGGAAAGCGAGAACAAAAGGTTGAGAATCAAACATGGATAAAGATTAAGATTTCACTTCCTAAAATGCCATCATGCAATATTTAAGGGTTAACAAAACAAACTAATATCAAGACAATTTCAGCAAAAGTTCAAGCAAAAGAAATGAAGAGATCAAGAAGTGGAAGAAGAAAACAATAACTTTCTTTTCTTTTTCAAATTTATAAATACAGAGAAAAACGCTAGAAATTAAAGGAAGATATTTGAGGCCTATTAAAACCCAAAGAAATAGAATCATTTGTGAACTGAGAGTTTGAGAAAAGAAAATTTAGGTAAAAATTTAAACTAATTGAAAAGATCCACTTCTTGATTAAATGCAAAGTAATTCAACTAATCCAAACTAAAAAGAGCTTAATAAAAAGGCAATGCAACCACAAGTACAATGCTAGTCTATATCTAACTATTCTATTTCAAAAGCAAAATAAACATACACTTAATCAAAATAAGCAATGCAAATGATCATCCATGCATGTACAGGTTCTGTGCCCTAAATATCTGAAACATGCTTTTAATAGACATGCTTAAAACATAAAACTTTAATTTTCCTCAACATAGCTGTTTTAACTCTTCCCATTTTCTTTTCATTTGTAATTATTCATTTGTCACAATATATGACATCACGCCAATCCATTTCCTCTTATTCTCTACCACATAGTCATCGTGAAAGCTATCTGTATTTAAGTATTTTATAGTTAAAGTTCACTAGTAAAGTTGCAATTAATAAGCAGGAAATTGTGAAATGATATTCTTCAGTTTTTAAAAAATCATGCTTTTCATGCTGTTAACATTCAAATTATATGTTATGCTATAAATTAGGAATAAATTATTGATTCAAAATATCATCTAAACTTTTAATGAATAACACTTTATGTATACAGGGAAAAACAAAGTTAGTCATGAGCATGACATTTGAAATTAGAATAAAGTTACAAGTTGATTACATTTTGGGAAGAACACTCTTTGCCGTCATAGCCAAATTCAAACTCAACATTGGACTTTATTATTATTATAAAATTGATGATTAAATGCACCTGACATACAAAGTTGTTCATGTGAAATTAAGGTACTGCATCCTAAGGCTTATATAGTTCACTCAAATTATATGAGAATTAAAGACAGATCAAATTCACAGCAGCTATAGTAAACTCTACTTAGACACATTTTGAGGGAAAGTTCCTTCATTAGAAATCTCAAACTCAAATTCACACTCAAATCCCTACTCCAACTCAATTGCCAGATGAAAATTATAGGACAAAAAATTGAAACAAATTAAGGGATAGATCAAGCTAAACAAATTCACCAACTCATACAGAGCCTAATATCTGAAGAAAAATTGAGAAATATGATCTTTGCTGAGTTTGCTCAAGAAGCTCACACTCACACTCAAACTCAATCTCAAAATGTAAGCTCAAAATGAGCAACAAGAACATTACAATCTTTGCAAAGTTTGCTCAAGAAGCAGAGTTAGCAGACACTCACACTCAAAATTTAAGCTCAAAATGAGGAAACAAGGACATTACCTCTGAGTTCTCATACTCGAGCTGAAGTCCTTCGTCAATGAGATTGGCCTCAAAGTTCTGCCTCTTCTTCACCCTCTTCTCCTCTCTCTCTTCACTCTCCTGCTTGCGGTAGGCCAGGACAAAGTCGATACGTCGCTTGCCATCCTTGAAGAAGAGGTCGTTGACCTTGTTATCGTCCTTCTTGGCCGGGGACTGGAAGGAGAAAGATGATAACAATAATCATTAATTAATGATAATTAGTGATATTAATAATAATAATGTGGTCTTATCAACCCATGTTAGCCACATCTTAATTTATATCGCTCCTTCTGTGAGTCCTTTCTTTTCTATGGGTGCTATTATCATTAATAACGATAATAATAATAATAACAATCTGGATTTATATAGCCCTTAATACGGATACCATCTCTAAGCACTTTACAGCTATTATTACCCCGGTCATCAGATTCATTCAAGCACAATTTGCACCATTTCCACTCCCTGAGGAGTATTCCTACCATAAGGTCACTGTGAGGGCATATGGCAATTACTAACACAAATGCTCTGGTTACCCTCTGGGTATTGAGTGGTAAATGTAGATTAATGCCAATATTTTCCAGTATTTTTTGTTCAAATACAGTGAAACCAGTCTATAAAGACCACCCAAGGGAGAAAAAAAAATGGTTTTTGTAGACAGGTGGTCTCTCTATACAGGTGGTCACTAAAGCAGGTCCGACTGTAGTTCCTTCTGGGCCTTGTTTTCAATTACAAGATTGAGCACGCAATCTTTACTCTTTTAATTTTTATAAAATCCAATATAAAGCATTACATTTTTATTTTTTATTCACCGCATACATGTTTCTTGCAAGGGGATCGAGAGGTGAAGAAACAGAATAGGAAGATAATGAGGAAGAAGTGTTGTCATGGAAATGGTTACAAGTAAAGGTATCACATAAAAAGAAAGAAATATGCAAATAGTAGAAATTAACAAACACACAGCTAGATCTAAAATGTACATATAGATTGTGAGCATTGAAAGCTCATAGAAATAAGGACATATACAAACAAACTTGTTATTCAATTGATTGTTATCACAAACTTCACAGAATTAAGACCTTCATAATGAATATTTCTCCCATCCATACAATGATTGGTTTTGGGTATGTTTAATCTCAAAAATATTGCTCATGCAGGATTTCATGCTTGATAAATGTGTGGACATTTTGTACATTTAATTAGGGTCTGTTTGGAGGCGGAAGGGCATTAACTTGTATACTTTTAACACAGAATTAATGCTCGTTTGGCTCTGAACAGACAAAATATACTGGTAAAACAAAATACGTTTAGATGATGCATAAAGAAGAGGAAAATATAGAATGTTGTGCACAGAATTACATATTCGGTTAACAACTCAATTATTCATATCCCTTGTAAATTTGATGGTTTTTTGCTTGTATTTCAAGAATGGAAATTAGGACAAATCAGTTTTTCACATACTTCAAAGATTACAAAACTTGGTAAGGGTATGAATAATTTAGTTGTTAACTGTATATATGTACATGTAGCTCAACAGGTTTTATAGGTATTATCGAGTCCTATCTATTTCCGCACATTTCTGGAGCATTTTCGTCTTCATCTTCTTTGCAACGACATGCAGTTAGCAGATATTTATTTGACAAATTCACAACAAACACAACATAAAGAGCAAAATGTCTTGCATGAGAAAAGCATAATAGATGGCCTGCAATGCACTGTATACTGTCTTGTGATTGAAGCTTGAAGAAGTAATATCAAAAGAAAATATGGTCCCCGAAAATAATTAATTTGAATACTGTATCATGAAGGTAATCTTCAATCGAATGGACTCGGAGACCGGCCAAATGTTTTTAATCACAAATGTACCGAATGTCAGTTTTCCTGAAACAATGAAAGTTTCATTTTTATTCAGTTTATACAAAATTAAAGTAACAGTTAGATTACATGTACATGTAGAAGAGAGTGCAGCATGCAAAGTTAAGAAAGTCAGGAAAAATCACAAACAATAGTACAACATTGATGCAGCAACAATGAGAGGATTAAGGACATCAAACAATGGCAATTTCGTGAAAGAAAGAAAAAAAAATTCCAAAGGCACATGTAGAGTAATTAAAGCAGTGAGAAAATACAATCTTTTAACTTTTAGTGAAAAAGGGACTCTTTTTCTTTCCACAGAAGCCTTCAATTGAGTGAAAGTAAAAAGCTCACACATCAAATCTTTGTCATTGGGGAATGCCATCAATTTGCAAATAATGAATTGATTAATTACATATTCACAATTAATACAGACAAAATACAGCATTAGATCCGACAGACAGGATGGATATTATCAAAAGGTTATTACACTGCAAATAGGCACAAGTATGGACACTGCAATCGGTGTCTGCTCAGAACCAGAAAGGCATTCAGTCATACACTATGACATTGAGTTAACGCCCCTCTGGCTCCTAACACAAACAATTTATTACCTCTGGAAGTTCATCATCATCCGTTTGTGCGAGCAAATTCGGATAAAGGTGCTAAACGAAATAAAAATAAATGAGAGAAGCAAATAAGCATTTTTAGCTTCCCAGCAAATAAGCACAAGTGTGTACACTGCTGCGACCCAGAAGGTGTTCACACTTCACACAGACACTTTGGCATTTGTATTAGGTTCATGGGTTAACGCCCTTCCTCCTCTAAACAAACGATTTATTACCTCTGGATCCTCTGGTTGCGCTACCAAATTTTGATAATGATGCTAAATAAAATAAAAATACATACAAGATGGAAAATAAGCATTAGCTTTTAAAAATAAAATGCTACTTGATTCTGAATGAACATTTGTTTTGAAGTATTCTCTACAAGCTACATGCTTTTTGTTAAGTTCCTTTTTTACATGTAATTATGAAATTGTTAACCGGTTGTGTAAATGCAGTGTAGATGTCTTTATTGTTCACGAATATCAATTTTGTAAATATGCTATGTTTTGTTTAATAATGTATTGTTTTTTTTTCATGTGAAATAAAAGACACTAAACTCAAAAAAGAAAGAAGAAAAAAGGAGTAAATGGATCGGTTTAAAAGCTGTTGTTGTTGTTTTAAAATTAATTATGAAAATATTGTTAAAATTCTGCTATGCTACTTTGAATGATAAAATAAAAGAATTTGAGATTGCAATTACTTGCTATTTCAAATTTACAGGCAGCATGGAGCTGTGACCAAAACATGTTTAAACCAGAACGTCAATGACGTGGCGCTCATCCGCATCTCGCAACAACAAATATTGTAAATTTTATGTGGTACACTTTTGAACTGGTCAAAAAATAAAAATTTGATGCCCTGGAAGGGACATTTGCAAATAATCATCATAATATTTTGCACAAAACTTTAAAAATGAAATGGAGAAGAAGCATTTTTTTGTTATTTTTGGAATAAATAACCATAAATTACCATAATTAATCAATGTAGCAAAATCTCAAAATTCTGTGTAGAAGTTTAGTGTACCAAAGTTAGCTCTACCAGTTAAAGGAAACCAAACCAAATGAAGAAGAAGCATTTTTTGTGATTTTTAAATTATTTTTGGAATTATTTTGCATAAATTACCATAATTAATCAATGTAGCAAAATCTCAAAATTCTGTGTAGAAGTTTAGTGTACCAAAGTTAGCTCTACCAGTTAAAGCAAACCAAATCGGGCCCTTCGGGCCAGATGAGCTAAAAATCAAACTTTCTCAGTTTTTATAAAACACAAAAAAGAGTAAATTTTATGTGAAACTGACTCAAAAATTAAAAGTACAGCTATGCTACTTTGAATGATAAAATAAAAGAATTTGAGATTGCAATTACTTGCAATTTCAAATTTACAGGCAGCATGGTGATTTGGATAAAGATGTTAAATGAAATAAAAAATAAATGAGAGAAGGAATTATGCATTTTTAGCTTCCCAGCAAATAAGCACAAGTATTGTACACTGCTGCGACCCAGAAGGTGTTCACACTTCACACAGACACTTTGGCATTTGTATTAGGTTCATGGGTTAACGCCCTTCCTCCTCCAAACAATTTATTACCTCTGGATCCTCTGGTTGCGCTACCAAATTTTGATAATGATGCTAAATGAAATAAAAATACATACAAGATGGAAAATAAGCATTAGCTTTAATAAAATGCTACTTGATTCTGAATGAATGAATATTAGTTTTGAAGTATTCTACAAGCTACATTCTTTTTATTAAGTTCCTTTTTTACATGTAATTATGAAATTGTTTACCGGTTGTGTAAATGCAGTGTAGATGTCTTTATTGTTCATGAATATCAATTTTGTAAATATGCTATGTTTTGTTTAATAATGTATTGTTTTTTTTTCATGTGAAATAAAAGACACTAAACTCAAAAAAGAAAGAAGAAAAAAGGAGTTAATGGATCGGTTTAAAAGCTGTTGTTGTTGTTAATTAATTATGAAAATGTTGTTAATTAATTATGAAAATATTGTTAAAATTCTGCTATGCTACTGTGAATGATAAAATAAAAGAATTTGAGATTGCAATTACTTGCAATTTTAAATTTACAGGCAGCATGGTGCTGTGACCAAAATATGTTTAAACTTTCTCAGTTTCTATAAAACACAAAAAAGAGTAAATTTTATGTGAAACTGACTCAAAAATTAAAAGTACAGAACATGTACACATATATTTAAAAACACAATTTTCTATGCAAACAAAATTGTGTGTTAATAAAAGTCAAAGACTGCAATGAGGATGCTCTGCATTTGGCCTTTAAGTTTACAAATGTACATGTTTATATGCAACAAAAAGTGAGGAAAATGGATATCCTTTGTTACTTTAATTCCATGCAATTAATTTTTTGTTTTAATGAATATGCTATTTCATGTACATGTATGGAATAGATAGAGATGATCTATTACATCAGTACCAGTACAAGTATGTGAAGTATGATGTCGGTACATGTATTACATAATGGAAAAGCGTCATGTGTAAAAGTACATGTACATGTACATGTAAATGGCATGAATCTTTAGATGGTAAATTTACCATGCATGCATGTACACAAAACCAGCTAACTTGTTGCGTTTCCAGGTTGGAATGATTTTTTTTGTGGACAAACTCTGATCTAGATGACACACACGATAACAGGGACGAAAATGAACCTTGTTTGCATTATGTTGCATAATTGATATTTAACTAATGTAAGAACAGAAAGTACTAAACAACATATACATGTACTGTACATGTTGTATATTCTGATCCAATTTCAGATATAATGCTACATGTATGTGTACAAGTAATGTTTAGTTAATAGTGTCTAAACAAATCCATCTCAAATACATGTAAAACCATGAAATAGCTTTATTGAAATTGGTAATGTTGGACTTTTTTTCCTAATCTAGATGGAAATTATCCAGCTAAGTTAATCTATAAGTAAAATGAATTTAAAACTTACACGTTGACATTATGGTAACATCTTGACAAGACAAATCTCAGCATCTAAAAGTGTCACTGCGATTTCTATAATGTATATGTGTATTTGCTAGATCATGATTTTTGTCTATAACACCCCACACCTGGAACACACAGACTCTCTGACTGGTAACTTACATGCATTTTATTTTTAAGAAGAGGGGTCTGTTGAAAAAAGCAAGAGAAAGAGTAGAGAAGGAGGCAGGGAGAAGGCTTTTAAAACACCAAAAAAAAGATAAATTATCCATTTAGAGCATGCAGAAGGTCGTTGAAACATAATATTTGTTTCTGCAGGATTAACGCTAATCTGGCTCCAAACAGACAAGTTGTTCAAAACACCAATAAAATTTCATGCATTTAATTTTGTACTTAACTTTCAGATTGGCAGCTCTTGTAAAAAAAAATGTTTAAATAAAATATTTCATGCTAATACATTCAATATAATACAACTTTGTCTTGCACAACTGTTACAAGAGAACATAAAAAAGTATGAGACATTAAAAACGGAGCTCCTTTGCGTTCATGGCCATGAGTGTATCCCATGAAAACATAAAATGTTTAGCTTATTCCAAGAAGTTAGTAACTTCTTGCTTATTCCTATTACTAAATTGTTGACTAAAAATTGGATGTAGAAAGATATGGCCAAAATTTAAATATTATTTAATTCATACAATGTAAAAGGATGTTTTGAAGAAAAAAATGTGTATCGGTACATATCTCATTTTTGGTAAAGCCTACATGTACAAGAAGAAAGTGAAGCTTTTTTCAAAATAATTTTGTAACGTTCTTACATCATGCTTGACAACAAAAAGTGTGTTGATAAAAATTGCATTGTGTTTACATGTACATGTAAATTCTGACTCAGTATGCCCAAGTTAAATGTGTTTGTCTAATCTGACACTGTAAGCAGTGTTTGCATGTTACATAATTGCAGTTAATGAGTAACAATTTGTTCTTAATACAAAGATAGCATCTTCAATGACAAGTCATTTATGTAAACCAGAATACATATCATATATTGAGGGCCAGATGTACACCAACTCTGTGTGTAATGATATGAGTTGATAACGCCCTTCTGGCTCCAAACAGACGATGTCATAGTTGAGAGACAGGAAGACTTTATCTCTGTGTCAAAGGACTTGCATTAATGCCCTTTTGTTTCTCAACAGATGATATTGTCTGTTTGGAGCCAGAAGGGCATTCACTCAAATAGAGTTAACATCCTTCTGGCAGCAGACTGATGATAATACAGTTAACAACATAATTATTCATACCATTACCGTTTTGTTTTGTTTTTGTTAAAGTATGTGAAAATTTGATTTGTCCCAATTAATGTTTCTTGAGAATGTGACACATTTAAAAGTATTAAAAAAAGGCCCTAATTCAAACAGTCCACCTTTCTTTCTGGAGTTATAGCAAAACATCAAAACATCAAATTTACAAGGGGTGTGAATAATTTAGTTGTTAAATGTACTACATGCACACTCTGATATGTTAGATGGTGGGAAGTATCAATTGCCTTTTAGATCTGCTTCTAAAGGCAAACTAATAATAGGATCTTGTTTACAAGCTTGTAAAGAATTAGTACATGTACATGTACAGGGCACTTTGAAATGGTGACAGAAACAAATAGTGAAGGAGAGTGAAATGAACTGGTAGTCAAACAATCGATCGGTCAAGTAATCACACAATCAATCACTCAAACATTTGTCAATTTAATTTGCTTGCTTTTCTTAATATTAGCTTTGTAAAATCACACAAGGCATGCATGGAACTCACAGGATTACGGATTATGGATTACGGGATGCAGAAAGGTGTGGGCAACATGGTGTTGGGTTTTTGTCGGAAGGGTTTGAAAATTGGGTGTGGCCGGGGTTGGGGTAGGGTGTGGCTGGGGTTGGCGTTGGGTTTGGGTTTGGGCAAGCTTGGCTGCCAGCACATCAAAGTACATTAAAAGAGGGTGATGTGTGCCTGGAGATGGGAAAGAATAGCAGTGGGTACATACTAGACCTATTGTACATACTGTCCATGTGAACAGGAGGAATGAGAGTAACAGATATGTT